TTATTTAAACTAATAATCAATTTATACTAAGTTGTTGATAATTGGTAACTATTTGTATTGTTGTTCAGGCTGTTGATAAAGGTTTTTCTTTATAATACTTCAGATGTGTTTTACTGATGAAATCGAATTACCATAAAACATAGGTCCAGCGATACCTGCAATCAAATAGTATTGACATCAATTTATTTATATTTTATCACCTTGCTTTCACATTCTTCGATAATACTATTAAAATGTGGGAAAAATTGAATTGAACTGATTCATTTGTAGTGTATGTTGCTCATGTTTGCAGATATAAGTGGTATGCAACACCTTTCAAATGTGAAATGTCTGCTAGCATAAGGTTCAGAATATTGAAATGAGCAGAAGAGGGAAGGAAACTGTTGTGACTTTAAGTTCGGCTAGTTATTATGTAATTTATTCGCCAATCGAAATGTCACTTGTTCACTCTTGTACAGTACTAAACCAATGACGTCCAACTGATCTGATCAGTATAGGGTATTATTGGTCCTTTGTTCGCCTAGCCCGTCCAGTTCAGTCCACAATACCAATAACTATGCGAATCATTTATTTCAGACATACTTGGTTTATATACCAGTCAAACAGACTGCATCGCACCATAAATTAGGAAATAACATTTATACACTATAAAGCCAAAATGTGGCTATGAACGTGGGAGACTGTAATCAATAAACTGAACATAACTCACGAACAGTAAATCATCTCATAATAATCTTTAAGTCAAAATGAAGCTTATAATAAGGGGAATATAGATATACATAATCTAACTACTTGGTTAGTGTCCGTGTGACTGTCGTAACCAACGGTTGAAGACTCTGTGTGACATGGCTCAGAATCGACCACGTTGGGTTAGGTGTATGCATTCTTTGTCTTCCCTTAAACCATTTGATTAAAATTATACCTTTCTTCCTTATACACATTCCTTCCTTTATGCATGACTATCATTGAAGTGACTAACTCTATGAATTTGGTTCTCTTCTTGTTGTGTTAATGAGGTATGGTAACTTGGTCCGATGCATATATGTACCTGGTGTTACGTTGCAGCTGACTGACTGACTTTCTGTTGATTTCTCATACATCTAATATATTTGTATATTCATTGTTTTGAAATTTCGACTAATCATTTATTTATTCTAACATAAACAACATTCGAGTTTATCAGTTTGACCTTCATTGGAAAATGGTCATATAAATTTTGGTGAGATCATAATTTATGCACGACCTTTGAGTAATACTAATATAACCTTGAAATGTCCACCTACCGACTAAAGTTAGATGAAAGTTATATATTAGTATGAGGAATTAAGATTAGGATTTACAATTGAACGTTTGGATTAGAAATTACAATCAATGTTTTCATCACGAACTGACATCAACTATTATGCTAAAATGGTATTTAAACAAATGGATGAATAAATCACGCGCCAAAATCTAGCATCTGTTATCTTAAATCTGATTGGCTTATCCATAATTTATAATCTCACCTGAATTTTATGACCTTGAGACGGAAGTGTTCAGTCATTGGTTTAAACTTCTATCATCGTCACGTGGCATCAATGTGAATAGTAACCATTCTAGTAAATGAATTAAAATGTCAATTTGTTAGCATTCGATAAATAAATGGATAAGCGTATCTTGTTAATTCTATTGTCATCGATACCTGATGATGACATTAAAAAAAAGTGGCGAGACTCTAATTTAAGGACGAGCCAATCAGAAGCGTTTGACCCGTTCCAAGGTCACGGAGCCAAGTTTAACACCTGATGCTCACATATGATCGGTTTACAGCGGATTTTAGAGAAGAGGTGATTATTGGGAGGCTACAAGGGATAGGATTGCTAAAAAGTTCTTGTACGTGAGACTGCGGTTATCAAATGACCGCAGTAAAGTGTGCAAACCACCGTGGAGAGATTATATTTCGTTGTCTTTCATGTTGGAGGAGAAAGTCTGCTAGAACGGGGACTTTCTTTGCTCGATTGCTACTGAAACTGAATCAGATTATGATAATAGTTGCAAATTGGGTAATAAACACACCAGTAACACCGGCTGCGGCGTTTGCAGTTGATTATGAAACTTCAGCAGTCCAGTGGTATGAGTACTGCCGTGACATATGTGCAACTAAAATAACACTTGTACACCAATCATTCGGAGGAGTAGGACGTATCGTGCAGACAGATGAAACGGCAGTGAGAAAGCGAAAATACAACAGGGGACGTAGTATAAAGTAGGATTGGGTAAGTAGCATTTCCGTAAATATACTCGACAGGTACTTGGGATTCATGACTTTCTATACCGTATGCAATATGATTTCAAAACATCTGAAACTTTAGCAAACCTTGATAAGTTTTTAAATCATGTAAAAGAAGCATATTCACTGTAATCCATTAGTTTCTTCTAATATATTTCTACGTTATACTAGCTGTCTTCTGATTGGCTATTATTCTCAAGGTCACTTAAAATTCGTTCAAAGGTCGTCCCTGAATTAGAGTCTCGCCAAAAAAGTTTTTGAGATGGTGGAGAAGATTTGTAGCTGAGGTGGATGATTTTGATGGAGTTTTTTTCTCTGAGCTGGATGGTTTGGTCATAAAGCTTTCATCATTATTCTGAATGACTTCTATCTAAAGTTTGTGCTGATAATGTCGTTCCGAAGAACGATGAAAGCTCCACGACTAAACTATCCAGCTCAGAGAAAAAAATTCCATCAAAAGTGTTTTCTCTACCTTAAATCGTTGGTGAGATTATGATTTATGGACGAGTTTTGAGCGACTCTGTAGTAACCTTGAGAATGTTTATCTGCTCACTAGGGCTGAATGAGGATTATAAATCAATGTGAGGAATTAGAATTATGGTATACAGTTGATGGTTAGAGTTAAGAATTAGATTTAAGGTTTTCATCAGGAATTGATATCAGCTAAAATACCAGAATGCTATTTAGCCAAATGGATGAATGAAATTTGCGCCAAAGTTCAAGACCTATTAACCTAAATCTGATTGATTCGTCTATTAATTATAATCTCGCCAAATCGATTTTTTTAGTGACCAGTTTATATGTGTATATTCGACTAATAATAGGTGACAGATTTGAATCCCGTCCCACTTACGTTGGTTTGAAAATATGTGGCTGAACGTTGAAAACATAAATGCAGACTTAGTGATTACAGTTTATGTGGTGGCTAGAGACACTACTTGTCCGTTTAAAACGATGTAGTTAGACTGTGGTTTAAGCTTATGTGACTTATTAGTGAACTAATCGAACCATTAAATCACTGTTTGATTTAAACAAAATGGTATTCAGTATAGTTGTTCCGTTATACTACCACATTAAGGTTTATCTCCCGAGCTTATAGAATTTCTTAACGGATTTCAAATGAGAAATCCTACATTTCTACTTACTTTTTATGAACACTATTCGGATTGGAGAAACACAATTATTAGTACGAATAATCGTTAATATTAATGGCCAATGAAAACTAAAGATTAAGTAATTAACAGGATTGCTCATAATTGTTTGGCACATAAATAGCAGTTAATACGAATTGGTAACAACTGAACAAGAACCGTAGGATTCATAGAGTACTTATGTATATTTGAAGCTTTTTTCTTCTAGTTTGAAATATCTCATGTGAATACACAATCTACAATCATATTGTGGTATGTGCTACTCATATCAACAGATATAAGTAGTATGTATCACAAATCGAAATTGAAATGCCTGACGGCAGAACGTTAAGAAGACCGAAGAGAAGAGAACGAGAACAGATAATGATTGCTGTGGAAACGAAAGAACAATGAAGTCTGAGACGATTGATTAACATTTTGCGCAAATGGTGTATTTACTGCATAGTTCTCAGATTTTACTAAGTTGTTCTGTAATTTTGTATTCAAATATATTTGATTGTCCCATCTGTGTTCTCGTTCACTACAATATGACTAACTCGGAATCATTTGTACCTGAAGAGTGAATATACAAACTGATGATTTTAAGACTATATTCTTTACTATATGTGCTGAGGTTAGACAAAGCGTGCTACGTAAAGATGGCAAGATAGTTGATATAACTATGAATCACTATTGACTCAGCTTTCTGGGACATTTATTGCGTATATACAACCACCACCTACCTTGGCTTGCAATATAAGCTTGTATTTGAGTAAATCAGAGGGATTCTAGGAAGATGTTGAGTGATATTTCTCACAATTGTTCGTAGTGATTCAAATGTATTGAATGTTCGTCTTCTCTTCGGTCTTATATCCCAAAATTATCTAAGATTTTATATCATGAATTCATTCCTACTTCACAAATCATAAAGTTTATGCCAAATTTTTTCCATTACAATTTATAGTGTCATTACTGATTACTATAGTATTTCTATTGATATCTTCTCCTTATTGTACTGATTAGATAATGGTAACTTGATTCAATGCATACATTTACCAGATTGTATGTTACTTATAATGGGCTGATTGAACTACTCGATGATTTCAGTTATTTTTAAAATCATCTATGTGAGTTTATGCGAACAGAATTCTATTTTTAATCACAATTCATTTTAATGATTAAGATCATGAGTCAGTTGAAGCTAGACCACCATGGAAAACCTGGAAGCACTGGACGGCCGTTTCGTCCTATTATGGGATTCCTCAGCAGTGCGCATCCACGACCTCGCCCCCTGCGAGATTCGAACCCAGGACCTACTGGTTTCGCGCGCGAGCACTTAAACACTAGACCACTGAGCCGGCATCCGACGGTGTTAATGTCTAACTTCAACTAATCCACGAAATTGAGCGATACATCCACCATTGTCTTCAGTGAGTTACTATCCCACAACAGACCTGGTTGAACTCCACTGGTCACTATTTCTCACTAGAACTCCAGGATCTAGCTTCAACTGACTCATGATCTTAATCATTGAAATTATTACAATCTCCACAAAACCCCTTCTGATAACAATTCATTTTACTTCATTCTTATACTTATAGATAAGAAAAATTCCAGAAGTTTGTGAACTTCGACAATGGCAAATGGAATGGAGAAAATATAATCGATTGAAAGCTAACCAATTGGAGTAACTTAATATTAAAGACAAAAATTTCCCAAAGTTTTTTCACAAAAAAGAAAAACAAACAAAATACCCAGTTACAACGTCGAGTTGATAATTTGTAATCAGTTCTTAATTCATTTATGACCAGTTTTTTTAAAAAAAAATACTGTGAAAAATGCTAACTTCGTTCTAGATATCCCAATCGCCTGGTTCATATACAAATACACATGTTTCCTATACGCTGAATCTTACTTGCTATGAGATTAAAGAGACTGGAATGAATAAAAGCCATAATCATCTTTATCCAGTAGTATGCATTATTTAGCATCTCTCAACCACTGCTTAACCCTGAGATAGCATGTAAGCACAATCATGTATGATGTTTTTTTTTTATTTATTTGAACACGTAGATATTGGTACAAGGAGGCACCAAATACATATGCGTCACACAGATCTCATTTGATTTGTATGAGAGCTGTAATACTGCCCGGGTGCCCAAACCGAAGCAGATAGTTTTCTTAGGAGGCCACACTCCGAGCCTTTCACTTAAAGGTCTGACCCATAACGCAGTGGAGCATCGTGAGGAGATGCAGTCATATGGTAGCCGGTGACCAAAGATTGGTTCATACGCCATTTGTTCCTTCAGGATACTGGAGCTAGCCCATGTGCACCATTGGTTTGGGATCCGGTTAAAGCGACGGACATTCGCTTTTCATCCTTTCATTTTCGTAAACAACAACCCCGCCACGAGAAGGCAGTGAGTAGGACTTCCCTGGCAGAGGCTGTATACGCGTGGCCGTGCGAGAGCATTTCGAGAGGGAGGGCGGCCATACCAGGGCATTTAGGGGTGTATCATGCATTAATTTACCTAGTCCATTACGTTCATTCATCATAGTCATAAATATTTGCTCTTAAATGTTTTCGAAAGCTTTGGGCGTTGCGACTCAATAAGCAAACTACACAAAAATCAATTTACACAATGGTACATGTGACTTTATGGAAAAAAGACTTCATTCAGCTTAACACAAAAGAACATGGGACTGTAAAGAAGCTCAGTATTAGAAGAGAAATAATTCCCCATAAAAAATGTGCACACTACAGTAGTAATGTATAATGAAGCCTAAATTAAGGAGTTTAATAAGCTAGTTCATAAGCTTTCTTTAATGAGATAAATCTCTACTATCTTACTAAAATAAAAAACAATCCACGATAACAAAACTCTCATTTTACCTCAATTGGTACTGTCAAGAATCTGACAAAATGTGACATGATTTGTAAAATATGATATCACATACAACTTCAGATTATTATCAATCAGCTTCCTGAGATGCTATTTTATTAAGTTGCAAACAAATATCAGTCCCGTTTAGTGGTTGTATTGGTAGCATTTTAAATGCGCTAGATAGTATAGATATACAGTTGACCTTTATCATACTAAATCTCTCTTCTTAGTTCCTCGGAAAAAAGAAAAGAGTTTACATCGAAATAAATATGTCTAACATGTGACATCGAATCAACAAATTCTATCCTCAGAGTTCAGTCCCATTCAATCCGAGGCCCAATTAATCATGACTTCAACATTCGTAGGTATCGGAAGCTTATTTTCATTTACGCAGTATGGTTATGATTGGACCATGGTTCAGCACATACATAATAATATAGTTTTAAAGTCTCTAATCAACTAATTCAAACATAAAAACTGATTTACTTTAAAATAAGACGAGTTGTTTTTACACTACAGTAAAAAGGCAATACACTTTCATATTCCGATATTCATTGAAATCGTCGAGTAGAGCAGAACAATCATTCAATGCTAGACAATATTTATTTACTTAAATACATAAAGATTGGTAGCAGGAGGCACAAATACACATGCGCCACATAAATCATGTGATTTATGTGAGGTCTTGGGCACTGCTCGGGTTCCCAAAACAAACCAGGTCGTTTACTTAAGGGGCCACACCCAGAGACTTTGACCTAAAGGTCCAATCCACAAGGCAGTGGAGCAACGCAAGGAGATACAGTCCCATGGTATCCGGTCAAAAACAATTGGTTCATACGCCATTTCTTCCTTCAGGATACTGGAGCCCATGTGCATCATTGGTTTGGAATCAAGGTTTTCCAACTACCCTAGGTGGATCCTCCGTGTCCACCAACCCGGTTAAAGTGCCGCACATTCGCTTTTCGTTCTCTCAATTTCATAAACATTACCGGTGCAGCAAGACGGCAGTGATTAGAATTTCCCTGGCTGTGGTTGTATGCACGTGGCCATGTGAGAGCATTTCGAATGGAAGAGCTGACTCTCTCCCCACTCTCGGCCGTTTTATTCGATTTCGGCATTTATAAATTCTATTTATTGTTTGATAAAAAAAAAGAAAACGACCAAAGAAGTATTTATGTAAACTGTTCATAAAAATACAGCAAATTAAAATATATTCGTCTAACTTTAAAAGTTATAGCTTCAGATACTTTCAATAAAACAAACTATGAACATCAGTTTGTAGGTATCATTACCAAGATTTAATTTGATAATTTCGAATAAATTGAGCATTGGATAGATTGTTATGAATAAAGTAATCTATTTGTAATATCCCAATGAGTAGATAAATTAGTTTTTCTGACGTTTCGTGACTTAGTGTAAGTCACTTCTTCAGAGATTAAATAACCAAATTAAAACTAATCCAAGTTTAAATAGTACAACGGAACTATTTAAACGGTACTATTTAAACTTGGATTAGTTTTAATTTGGTTATTTATTCTCTGAAGAAGTGACTTACACTCAGTCACGAAACGTCAGAAAATCTAATTTTTCTACTCATTGGGATATTACAAATAGATTACTTTATTTAAAACCATGAACAGTTTTGAGATTGAACCTGTTCAATGTATTTTCTATGGTAAATAATGTGTCGTCTATCTATTATTATTAACATCGTCATCAAGAATTGATACTTTAGTTCAGCAAAGTTAACTTGATACACATGTGATTATCATGAATACTACACGTTAGATCCTATAAAATTATACTATACTACGATCATAGCCAACTATAAAAATGACCTCGTAAGATTTTGTTATTAACCAATAAGAATACATAGAAAGTTTTCTAAGTTTGATACTGTATTGGTTTCAGTGACTGATATCTGTTTTCTATGTCTGAACTTTGATATTGGTTGGTGAAATCTGTAAATCCATGTTTATTATGTCAAATAAAGATCATCAAATGAAGAAGAGAATTGATCACAAATAGGTAATCAAGTATTGTCAATTCTTTGGTTCAATTTAAACCAAAACTATTGGAACTATTCACCGATAGGATAGTATTTAGATTTGATAATTCCATTGATAAATTTAATAATACACTAGATAATCTCAAATGATTCTAACTGGAAAATCAGCTATATCCTTTATGCTGCCTATTATGGGATAAATACTTCAGTAACAACGTGGAACTTTGTACGTACCTACATCAGTTCGAGTTGCTATACCACATTAGCACAGAGATTCAGTTATCGATTCAAATCCCATAGTGGTAGATGTGGTGAAAGTATAAGTAGTGATAGAGAACATTAGGGTTTCATGATGTTATTTAAGGAGTATAGTCCAGTGGAATAGATTTGGAAAGAAAATAAAGGACATGAAGAATTCAGAAGATTAGAGTTTGAGAGAACACAGAGAGTGGATGCACCTGCACCATTGCAAACGATTTTGAGCCATGTCATTCAAAGTCTCTAACCATCGGTTGCTATCATCTCGCGGTCCCCAACCAAGTAGTCTACACCTACCAACATGGTTCAGTTCACTTGTTAGTGACTTTATGGATTTGTGACATGTTTCGGTCTGGCGGGATAAATACTTGATCGAATAAGATTCCAATGACATGAACTCTAAGGCATTAGAAGTATTACTCAAATAACTGTTTGAAGATTGATTAATCTATCAACTGGATTATATCTAATCACCAATGTTATTCTACTATATCATTTTTTGCGTTATTATTTTATAGATAATGTCATTATTTTACTACATAGAAAATAATCTAGTTTCCTGGTTAATGATGTTGCTTTTGATTACAAATCAATCAAGTGCTTATGTTAATAATTCAGTCCTGTGATGAGCCATTACTCTCATTCACACTTCGTATCACTGTAAATTTGTCGTTTTGTTTTCATTTTAACAGTTATGATCAGAAAGAGATTTTGTCGATATTATAGTAATTTCAATCGTTGAGATCATGATGGTCTGACTTCAATTGACAAATGATTTCAACTATTCAAGTTATAAATTTGTTTACCAAATTACTAGATCTCTTCTCGATAAAATTCAAAAAGATCACATTTTATGAAAAATCAAGACGTGACTAGTATGTTATTAATAATTTATTGATCCAATCATGGTCAATCTCTATGTCAGAAGGGGTTTTGTGGATATTATAGTAATTTAAATAGTTGAGATCGTAAGTCAATTGAAGCTAAACCACCATGGAAAACCTGGAAGCACTGGACAGCAGTTTCGTCCAATTGTGAGACTCCTCAGCAGTACACATCCATGATCCTGCCTCACGAGATTCGAACTTAGGACCTATTAGTCTATATTCTTTCATCTGAATCAATTAAGTATGATGTAAATGTATACGCATAATTTGTATACATGATCATTCAATTTTGGGCATAAAACTTCTTAAGAACCATTCTTAATGTCTTTTTTTTACATTTGAATAGCTGATGGAGTCAAACATTAAGCAATGTGTGTATATTGTGACCTTAACAAACTAACGAAGATAATAATAGAGTGACTAGCCTGAAAAATGAGTATATCACTTGATAAATTATCTGTGATTACTTTCAATAGCTGATTGAATAACTCAATATGTCTGTATATTGTTCAACTTATCTTTTCTTTTTTCTCACTGTTGCTAGAAGTGGTAATGTATTTCTGAAGATTTTGATTTGTACCATAAATGTGATGTTCTATTATTTTTAACAGATAATCAGTTTATAAAAAGAGGTTTTTCTGGTTAATATTTATTTTCAGAAGGGGTTTTGTGGAGATTTTTGTCATTTCAATAGTTGAAATCATGAGTCAATTGAAGCTAGAACACCATGAAAACCCTGGAAGCACTGGATATGTCGCTCAGCTTCGTGGATTGGTTGAATTTAGAAATTAACACCGTCGGATGCCGGCCGACTCAGTGGTCTAATGGTTAAGCGCTCGCATGCGATACGGATAGGTCCTGAGTTCGAATCTCGCCAAGATGGGGGCGGGACAATGGATGCGAAGTTCCATACTACGACGAAACTGCCGTCCAGTGCTTCCAGGTTTTCCATGGTGGTCTAGCTTCAATCGACTCATGATTTCAGCTATTGTAATATTTATTTACTCATAACATATAAATCATGATACAACAGGGAGTTAAACAATGTTTATACGGTTGATCGGTCATTGAGTAGCAACCAATGTCATGTATGTCAAGTCCTTTTTAGTGTTGATAGAGTACTATGGATCAGGTAGCAATGCGGCTACTACTCTCATTGACTCAACATCACATGCACTATGTTAGGATGTAAGGTGGCATTCGGAAGTAGTTGCTAGGATACCTCAGGAAAAGAATTCGCACTTTTTTAGCACTCGTCAGCTAGACGTTCCATTAATCTTGAGAGAATTTATACTTCTTGGTGGGTTCGACGCCATATCACAGATGTCTAATCGTAAACACATCTAAATCCTACAGGAATCTAGTTGCTACACGGATAGCTCAGTGATGCGTCTGAATAAGAAGCTGTATGACACGAGATCGAATCCACCGGGGTACACCGGGCCCCTGGATATCATGGAGTACATTCTGCTGACATATGTCAACCAGCACAAAACCTAGATCCACATTGGGCTATCGATTACTTCCGGTTACCACCTAAAATCAAATGTTTTACAAATAAAAATGACAAGTAATATGGAGAAATAGAAGGGTTGTACAATTCATAAAAAAAAAAAACGATAAAATCCATTTAAAGTTTTTGTGTCGGTGAGAATAAATAGATCCTCTCGTTAAGTTTATTTGAGACCCACGGAATTGAACCGTAAGACAGATCGATTATATTGATCTAGTCCTAGTGTCGATTGCTTGCCTAGACTGTCCATTTAGGACCAATGACACAATAAATGTGAGATGACAGCCGATAATAAAACTAGACGACCATTGGTTAAGAATGCAATTTTCCACGCTCACTCACTCGACAGCTAGAACCGAATAAAACTTAGCAAGCAGACAGCTCATTACACAGTTGGAACTTATGAATCATTAATACAGCAATATATATAGAACAAAATCCTGAATACACATCAACAGAATTAAGAAACTACAATATAGCCATAACTGTTCCATAAGTGAAAGAGAACTGAATGATAGGTCCTTAATAAATTGACAATAATATAGGCAAAGTAGTATACATAACATTAGCCCATGTATCAAGCGAAGGCCTGCAAGTAGGACAATACAACAATATAACAGTTTAAGTATTTAATAATTATACAATAAAAATATAAAAGGTAACTTGAACTAGGACTGTATTGATAGTTCGTTTTGGCTTAAGATTTTTCCCCACAAACAACAAAAATGATTTTTCCAACTAATGAAATTCCTTCTTTTATCTATTCAAGAATGTACATGAAAACTACAGCAAAATCATTAGTAATTTTTTTTTATTTTGAGCGACGTCTGTTAAAATCTTGAGAACCATTGAGTTGAATGATCTCTAGAATCCTAGTTAGGAAGTTGTGACAAATTGACAGATACCAATCTTATACAGCTATAATTTATAAAACGAAGCCTTGTTTTGTACAAACCCTATGATATGAGAAAACAATAGTGGAATTTTAGATCTGGAATCGAACTCTTCAATACAAACAGTTAAACTAGAAGAGTTGAAAAACCCCTTATATCAAATCAGTGGTATAATTAAGATCCTGAGAAAAAGAACCTACCAGCTATAAGTCAGTCAGTAACAACGTGGAACTTCGTACGTACCTACATCAGTTCGAGTTGCCATACCACATTAGCACAGAGATTCAGTTATCGATTCAAATCCCATAGTGGTAGATGTGGTGAAAGTATAAGTAGTGATAGGGAACATTAGGGTTTGATGATGTTATTCAACGAGTATAATCCAGTGGAATAGATTTGGAAAGAAAATAAAGGACATGAAGAATTCAGAAGATTAGAGTTTGAGAGAACACAGAGAGTGGATGCACCTGCGCCATTGCAAACGATTTTGAACCATGTCATTCAAAGTCTCTAACCATCGGTTGCTATCATCTCGCGGTCCCCAACCAGGTAGTCTACACCTACCAACATGGTTCAGTCCACTTGTCAGTGACTTCATGGATTTGTGACATGTTTTTATTTGGCCGCTTCTAGCTTTCTTCCAACCTATTCCTACACCATAAATATCGCACATCGGGGCAGTCGGGCATGCGTAACACATTTCCCAGCCATCTCAACTGATTAAGTTTCACTACTTTATCAACTGATTTGCCATCCTTACCTTGTACCTGTTTCCTAACAACTGAGTTACTTACTCGGTGGTCCCAGGATATACGAGGAATGTTTTGAAGACACCTATGATCAAATACTAGTAACCTACGAATATCCTCTACACTTGCTGGCCATGTTTCACTGCCATAAATTAGGACGGAACGAACTGCTGAACAGTAAACTCGTACTTTGGTTGATAGACGGATATCTCGCCTACGCCACAAATGACGCAAGTTGGCAAAAGCTAGTTGAGCCTTCTGTATCCGTGCTGAGATTTCGTCACACACCAGACCACAAGGGCTGATGAGACTTCCAAGATAAGTGAAGCGGTCGACACGCTCAACTACTTTACTCCGTATCAACCAGCTATAGGACTGTGTCACCTCGCATCACATCACTCCCATGTGGGTTAGCCTCTTAGACCAACGGCTCAGGCATTGATTTTCTTAAGAAGAACACCAGTCCCGATATGAGCATTTAAGTAATATCTCAGTTAACAAATAAATATAACAACAAATACTGTGAGAAATAACATGCAATAAAAAAATGAACTTATCGATCAAAATTTATGCTCTCAATTTAAAAGTACATTCAATGCCCTCAGAAACTATTTACATCTATCCATAAGTCAACAAAATATTCATTACTGAATGAAATTACTAAATCAGACTACATTCACATATACGCCGTCCGAAATTGGATTTGATTAAAATATCTGAAAACTATTGATTATTATTAGAAGAGATTTTGTGGAGGTTTAAGTCATTTCAATAGTTAAAATCATGAGTCAATTGAAGCCGTTCACTGCTTCCAGTTTTTCCATGTTGGCCTAGATTCAATTGATTCATGATTTCAACTATTGAGATAATCCCAAAATAACTTATTTAAACTTTGAATATAGCAAATAATTCATAATTAATTAGTTATAAACTAGATAACCTGCAATACTATTAGATGTATGAAAACATTTGTTGTCACATTCTAGTTACCCCACATCATGGAACATGAATCCCTTTTAAACCATTTAAAAAGAACAAAAAAAACAGAACAAATGACCATAATGCTTAAGGAACAATAATTTTAGCTCAATGATATCACTTTTACACCAACCTAGATGGAATGATTTAATGAACGATACAAAAATGATCATACAGCTTTTCCAATCAACATAATAAGACTAAACAATATATATATATATATATATATATATATATATATATATATATATATATATATATATATATATATATAGACAACAAAGTGTCAATACGGATAAAGTAGAAGTGTATATATGTAAATATCATTACTTTTATTAAATGCATCTATATCAAAGTGACATAGAATACAATGTGAAAATGAGAAGAAAAACAAAACACAATATTCTTGTAAGCAAACATCTATGAAAATATGAATGTATATCCATGTATATATATATGCACACTATCAAACGGATACACTTCATCAATATGTATGCATAGATATTAATATAAATGAAGAAATCACAGAATGGATATATATATATCATTGAATGACATAACAGTATTAATCATAACTCTAATTAAATAGAAGTAGCAACAGTCTCCTCCTCCGCCCCCTCCTATTTATGTTTGATACTTTTATTCTTTCATTGATAAGAAAATGTATGTTAATGGCTGTGTGTAGTAGTTGTGAAAAGTGAAATGAAACAGACAGTGATTATTATATATATGTAAGGATGTAAAACAAACAACAACACTGACAATAATAATAATAATAATAATAATAATAATAATAATGAGGTTATGTAAAAACAGATACAAGCCGATTACACGTAGAGAAAGAGAGAGCGAGAGGGAAATGCAATACAAAATAAATGATGATAATGATGATGATGATGAGTTAAAACAATACTACATCGACTGGATTGAATAGAATAGTAAATCAGTATATTTCTGTATTCTACAGTATAAAAAAAAACAAGAAACAAATTCTACATATCCTGTTAAAACACACTTCTATTAACACTTTCAAATTTGTGCCTGCAGTTAATAGTTTCTTTCAGTTCAATCCAACTAATAACATATACTACTTATATGTTAGGTAGTATAAATTAGTAAGTAGTACAACAAATATTTACTAATTAATTTAAAAATTGAAAACAAATTTCAATGTAAAGTAGACTAGTTCTTAACGTTAGTCGTACATTTCATAATGCGTGACTATACGTGTGTGTGTGTGTCTGTATGCCGTATATATATATATATATATATATATATATATATATATATATATATATATATATATATATATATATATATATATATATATATATATATATATATATATATATATATGAGTGCACAATATCTCATTATGTTAATGATCTACAATACACTTGTCTATGCGAGCCTGTTAGCAAATAAGTAATAGAAATAATGATAATAATGAGGAGGGGGGGAGAACAACAACAGATTTTGTAATCAGAACCTGATTGTAAAATCCAAACTTGAACAATCACCAAGCCTATCAATAGAAATAATATATAAAGTAATTTTATATTTAATCTTTCTGTATGAAAAATAAGTTAAACGCACATGTATGTCTGTAGCTCTATAGTGTGTGTATGTATGTGTTAATAAAATACAAACACACACACACACATGATCAAACATACAGAAGCAAGCAGATATGTATGTATGTATGTGTGTTTGTTTGTAACACTATCACTTGTTGGGTTATATTCTCATTGTTTGATTTTTTTTCTTCAAAAACTTTCTATACTTCAACATCATTCATCGGTGATGATGATGATGATGAACTAGTTGGTCGTAGTGTTGTTGAACTTGATCCTGACGGAGATGGTAAATATTCATTTACTGCAACTACCAATTGATTAGGAAGTAGACCACGTTTATAAAGACCATCCGTAAGTAGACGATAAAATAGAATTTGTGCATTTGGCGGTAAAATGTAGATTTTTGGTAATAGAGAAACAGGACTATGAGTTCTGAGACAAGAATATAATTTTAAAAAAATAAATAAAAAAACTATGAACGATGAAATAAACGAAGAGGATTAAGGTTAATAATTTATGCAAAATAAATATGAATCCCATTACATATGTGATATATATAAGAGATAGTGTTCTCTGGGATAAACGACTTTACTTGTGAAACATTCCTTCTTTTTTCTTTATGATAATGTTGCCCTAAAGAACAATGAAAGCTTTACAACTAAACAATCTATCTAGCTCAGAAAACACATAACATCTTCAATGTTCCTATCTCAAAGATTCTTTAAAATGTTAAACCACTAATGGTATATGTTTCAGTTTTCTGAAATGAAAGTCATTCCTTGGTCACTTTATAATTTGACTAATTTTTGATTGATCTAATGTATGTCCGATGATCGATCGCGTTTTTTTAGTGAATAATGAAATTATATAGATTGATGATAATAGGTTTACATGATAATTTGATCAAGTAAACAAGTAACGAATATCTGATCCATTAGGTTTCGACATGATTTCTAGTATTTGGTTACCTACAGACTGTTTCCAACGCCATTTAATTTATTGATCAATTTGAGGTTAACCAGGTCAGTGATATTATGAACACACTAAATTGAATGAAGCTGAGTATGAACCTACGAACTATTAGATGAAAAATGAATACCTTAACTAGTAAGTTACTTTTTCATACACATAATGAATAGATTATCATAAACTAAATGAAAGTTATCAGTGAAATCAGTGGTCTATATACACATTTTCGTGGTTCCATAATTATTATATACAATTGACTTTTCAAATTGGAACATTTGAATATAGTTGACAGAATACTTTCGAGTAATTCATCATCAAGTTAGCATACATTCATTTCAAATCCTAACAGTACTTCTTCTTTTTCAACCAATCAAATACTCGATTTGTGTAACATATTTAAATCTTCTAAGGACCCAGTAGTTTCTGCAAAATTACAGATACTTTAGTATGACCCTTTATCTTATTCCAATTGGAACGTACGAATGATTTCTATAGAAATATACATACCATCAACCCTCGTATATTACCATTTACTTAAATCACATTAGTGAATAATGGAATTAAATAAGTCAAATACGAGAATAAATTTTGAATATGTATATTTCACACAATCATTGACCTGAACAGTTGATCACAGAAACAAAGTAAAAAATGCGAAGAGGAGAGAGCAAAACGAAACAAATCAGATAAAGTATATAAGCCATTATTTACTAAATCAAGTTAAGTCAATAATAATATATGACGGTTGATGGTATGTATATTTCGATAGTAATCATTTGTACAATAAATAAACGGTTACTAAACTGGTGAGCCTTATGTTGTCTCATCTAAATAGAGTCAGATAAAAGTGAATTAAAATACTCAACTGTCTTTGACTAGTAAAAAATTACTTATTTATGAATGAAAACATCTATATCCTCAATCATTTATTCAATAAATTTTGTTTCCTCACTATGAATATTTACCTTGAATTAGTCAATTATATTCATATATACACTGATTGCATATTCACTCATTATTAACTCTTAGAAACTATACTGTACAACAACATTATAACAGATTAATTTCAATTATTAAATTAATTATAAGGTCATTATAAAAACCAATTTTCAATATATGATACCTAACTATGTATATATACATGTGTTCATATAAATTATAATATCCATGTGTAAAAGTACACTAATTAAAAAAAAGTATATTTTTTGTTGTTGTCGGGTCGAGACTATAATTTATGAACAATATTTGAGTGACACTAAAATAAGTGACCTTGGAGAGTGTGCACTTAATAAACAGGATCAAATGAGGATAATAAACCTGTGTGAAGAATTGAAATTATGATTTACTTATTTATTTGAACACATAAATATTGGTACAATGGGGCACCAAATACAAATGCACCACACAAAATCTTATTTGTGTGTGAGCTGTGATACTCCCCGGGTGTTCAGACCGAAGCAGGTGGTTTACTTAGGGGGCCACACTCCGAGCCTTCGACCTAAAGGTCTGACCCACAACGCAGTAGAGCATGGTAAGGAGATACAGTCCCATGGAAGCCGGTGACCAACGATTGGTTCATACGCCATTTGTTCCTTCAGGATACTGGAGCCCATGTGCACCATTGGTTTGGGATCCGCTTATAGCGTCGGACATTCGCTTTTCGTCCTCTCATTTTGTAGACAACACCCCCATCACGAGAAGGCATTGAGTATGACTTCCCTGGTAGAGGCTGTATACGCGTGGCCATGTGAGAGCATTTCGAGAGGGGGCCGGGCCCACCCCACTCCCGGCCATACCAGGGCATTTGGGGGCCACGGGCATTTGGGAGGATAATAAACCTGTGTGAGTAATTGAAATTATGATTTACAGTTGATGGATAAGGGTTAAGAATTAGATTTACGGTTTTATATCCTGAAATGACATAAGGTATAATGCCAGATACATATTTTGCCAAATGGATGAATGAATTTCGCGCGGAAATTCGAGACCTGTTATCTTATACCTGATTTGTTCATCCATAAATTATAGTCTCACCGTTGTTAGTTTATGATTTTCAATATTGTATTTCAATTAGTCTCCAATGAGAGTTCCCTTGAATGGATGTACTCTATATAGTATATGGCTACAAGTGGATTATAATTATTTTTTTTAAAAAAGTAATCTGTTTTAAACTCTAGTTTCTATGAAAACATCAACAGTGGGAATCCAGTTGAAAAGTTCGAACTACAAGATGAATTATGCAGTCTGAATGTCAGTACTATACAATATACCTACAAAACGAAATCAGATATACTTGCCCCATAAATAACCATGTGTAACCGATTGTGGAAAATGTCCGCTTTACATCTCAAAATAGTCTTTTGTAGTGGATACGAAGTAAACGCTATCCAGGGTACTTGTAAAATTCTGAATTCAAACTAATAGTGTGCATAGGATCAAGGATTTTGAATAAGCAAATGATCTGACATTGTTCTACTACTTTGTGGATTAGACCCTAAGGTAAACCACCTAGTTTGTCCTGACTGTTTTTGCAGTATCCCAGTCAGTACACACAAATATGATGATGATAATGATTAGTGAAGAAAATGTTGTCCTATCATTGGAATATAAATCATAAAGACAATAAAAGTGTGTGCACATACGTACACATATGCTTAGAAACATGAAACAACTTACCGAACAAATGAATTATAATAAAATAATACAAATGTTCCAATTATTAATTGACAATCAAAACGATCAACTACACCACCGTGTCCAGGGAATAAATCACCAAAATCTTTAATTTTAAATGCTCTCTTAAAACCGCTAGCGAAGAATCCACCAAATGGTCCAACAACTGATGTATATATACTGATAATTAAACAATGTTGTAAGAATGGATACCAAGTGATTTGACGTATTGGAAGAAAGAGCTATACATATACATACATATTTAGATAAATATGCAGGCGGGAGAAAAAGAAAAGCAAGAAAAAAACACAGTACTAAAAACTATCCGAATGAAATATTAAAAAAAATAAATACATCAACAAGAAATCATTTGAATTTGCATACAAATAGAGCAAATGTTATGCCTTCATATATTTAGGACATTTCAAAGGTGTGATGTATGCACAGTTGGTTACATGGAGTTCAATCCAAAATGTTCAGGTTTCCTGGGAAGCCAGTAACTATTAGACGACTGCTACTGAAGTGAACGAGAACATAGATCGGACAATCAAATATATTTGAATACAAAATTACAGAACAACTTAGTAAAATCTGAGAATCATAAAGTAAATACTTCATTTGTACAAAATGTTAATCAATCGTTTCAGACTTCATTGTTCTTTCATTTCCACAGCAATCATTATCTGTTCTCGTTCTCTTTTCTTCGATCTTCTTAACGTTCTGTCGTCAGGTATTTCAATTTCGATTGGTGATACATACAACTTATATCTGTTGATATCAGTAGCATACACCACACTACTACTACTACTTATATTGAATCGAAATCCATAAGAGATCGACACTTTCAACAATCCAATTTAGTGTAACCATTATTATTGAATATCATCGGAATCATGTGCTTGACTAAAATAGATATAGTTGAAATTTGGTAGTTAATATTTCTTGTTAGCACATCATTTCAAAACTAACCATTAGTGAGGAAATTTGAAAAAAAAAGATAAACCTTGACAGTAGTCGTAATCATGACGCAATATTCGGGTTTGTATATCACGAAAACTGAGTTGAGTTGGTAGCGTCTAGTATTGTCATACCGACATTGGTTATTCTGACTTTTGGACAGAACAATTAATCTGTTCTTTTTAACACATTATCTATACATATTTTGACCTTGCCAATTATTCACTTATAATCGTTTTTATAAGAGCACATGTGTGTGTACGTTAGTCATATACTTTCTTCATCACAGGTCTTTAGTTTTATTTTCTGTCGAAGTATACGAAGTGGATCACACTTGATGAAATCGAGTTGACATATTTCCCTTCTTTATCTTTCAAAATGAATGTATGAAGTGTACACTTCCGAAACACTTGTATTCAACTTTTTATAACTCCATTGTCATTGGAGGGACTTGTAAGCAGAGTACATACAATGTCAGTAGGATATATATTTCACAAACATCACTATTATGCGATCATTTTGGAATCCAACAACGGTCTACAAAAATCTATACTGGTTGGAGCATTCATTTCATTAGGTCTTACCATACCATCCAGGTTTGTTAAAGTTAAGATGAAAAATTACAAGCTTATGACCCGATGAGGAAGTAGTAAGATGTTTTTTCTTGTACAACTAGCATCTGTGGCGATGCTGCCTATTCTGTAACGTTGGATGGAGACTAAAAATAGTCGACTTAAAAATAGTACATCTCACTAACAACTGATGAATAAGATTCCTCATAGCTAACAAAATATTGGAACATCATACATTAGTGATCATCAATATAAAATAGGGAACTTACTAAATACTTTGGTAAATCATAAATCTGTGCTATAAACACAGGATTTCTAGTACAATTCATTGTTAAAGAACCTTTTGTATCATCCCATTCAATTGGACATACGAAATAATCATATTTTAATAAAATATAAGATAGTAATATACTGAATAATATAGTAGATAGACCACCACCAATAAAACCTTCCCATGTTTTTTTTGGTGATAATTTAATAAGTGGTGTTTTCCCATAGAAAAATCCAAATACATATGCCATAACATCATTGCATATAACTAGACAAACTGGTAAAAGAAACCTATAAGATAATATGAAGAAAAAGAATTAATGTATAGAAAGACAAAGGATAAAACTATACATTATTTGATGAAACGAATCTGTTTTAATAGTTGAAATCATGAGTCAATTGAAGCTAGACCACCAAAGAAAATCTGGAAGCACTGGATGGCCGTTTTGTCTTAGTATGGGACTCCTCAGCGGTGCGCATCCACGATCCCGCCCCCCCGCGAGATTCGAACCCAGAACCTATTGGTCTCGCGCCAGGCGCTTAACCAACTAGACCACTGAGCCGGCTGGCATCCAACGTTGTTAATGTCTAACTTCAACCAATTCACGAAATCGAGCGACATATCCAGTGCTTTCAGGTTTTCCATGGTGGTCTAGTTTCAATTGACTCATGATTTCAACTATTGAAATTACTAAAATCTCCACTCGACGTGCGATATTTTCTGGTGTAGGAGTAGGTTGGAAGAAAGCTAGAAGCGGCCAGAACAAAACATGGCACAAATCCATAACGTCACTGACAAGTGGACTGAGTCATAATGGTAGATGTAGACTACCTGGTTGGGGACCGCGAGATGATAGAAACCGATGGTTTGAGACCTTGAATGACATGGCTCAAAATCGTTTGCAATGGCGCAGGTGCATCCACTCTTTGCGTTTTCTCAAACTCTAATCTTCTGAATTCTTCATGTCCTTTATTTTCTTTCCCAATATACTCCACTGGACTATACTCCTTAAATAACATCATGAAACCCTAATGTTCCCTATCACTACCCCTATAACTACGGGATTTGAATCGATAACTGAATCTCTGTGCTAATGTGGTATGGCAACTCGAACTGATGTACGTACGTACGAAGTTCCACGTTGTTACTGACTGACTGAAAATCTCCACAAAACCCCTTCTCATAATCTGTTTTAATTCATTTTTTATATTGGTTATGTTGAAGCTGACAAATCTCAGATGGGACAAAATGTACGTTATAGATTCTACTATTAGCAACCATTCCTCTCTACATATAATTTAAGATAGAAGTTACTAGAGTTTTAAGAGGAATTGTTTATTTATAAAAAAAGACAATGATAAATAGCTTGTAGCGAAGTGAATAAGCTAAGAAAAACACTTCAAATTTTAACCATAATTCCTAAGTCTAACTCTTAATCTTAATCTAAAGACTTCGAAGGTTTATGTAACTAATTTAGTTAGCGTTTTTTAGCAAGTTAGTTTTCTACCGGATTGGGGTCGCTTACTCCATGCTCAACCGTCTTTCTTCACCTGGGCTTGAGACCTGCAATAAATCTAGAAGAGCTACATGCGGAGCTGAATCTTGAAGAACTACCACAATCAAGTAATGTAACTAATCATTACTTACTTACGCCTGTTACTCCTCGTGAAGGAGCATAGGCCGCTCACCAGCATTCTCCATCCAACCCTGTCCTGGGCAATCCTTTCAAGCTCTTTCCAGTTCTTACTCCGCCTGTAACTCTTCCAGAGTTACTGCCGGTCCCAAGCCCGGGTAAAGGAGGAGGGTTGGGCATGGGGTTAGCGTCCCCATCCCGTAGAAACCTAACTCGCTAAAAAACGCTAACCAGAAAAATAACTAATCATTCGTTGATATTAAATTGAATTCTGAATGGTCAAAAACTGGTTTTACACTCTAAAGATCATTTTGGGGATTATTAAAGGTTGTCAGTAAAACATACTTCAATCAAATAAATAAAACATGAAGAGATCATACTTATCACTAAGCTTAAATTGTTCACCGAGTATCGATAACCAGTATCATGTAGTTCGAATCATTAATGTTGATTGAATTCTATCGATATTATATTTATAAACAATGATCAGTCAGAGTGAATAAATCAATCTTACAAGAGCGGTCAGTGAATAATTCTGAGGTTATATATTAAAATACAACGTAAAGATAATAAACCAGCTAAGGTGGTTGAGACATGTAGTATGTATATCTAACTACTGGTTATCTCAACATCCAATGTTGACCGGAGTATGGGTAGATTGGAAAAGAACTAGGAGTAGCTAAACCAAAACATGGCATTACTTCATGAAATTATTGACTGTTGGTTTGATCCATATGTTGATAAATGCAAACTACCAATGGATAAAGATGTTGAGTGTATGTATCGGAATCGAATGGAATAAAGTAGATGTATCCACTATTTGTATTCCCCTAGAAATTTCAGTTATAAAATTACATTATAATTTATCTCAAGAACTAACTTTTCCATCTCGAATCATCTTTACCCAAGAATTTCTTTACTACTGCTTATACTGACATTACTACTTCTACTATTCAGGTACTTATTTACTCTGATAATTTCAATCTTGTGCTGACGTGATGTGACATCTTGCACCAATGCACAAGTATGTCCCAAGTTCTATGATATTTATGACTGATGACTGACTAAAATGTTGTAAGTATTACCTCAATTTATCGACGACAAACACTGGAAAGTACATTAGTCATCAGATTTCCATAATAAACTATCGTTAATCAATAGCTTAAACATTTGATTTTTATTCAGCAAAATTACAAGTTTGAATCACTACGAATTACTAAATAAATAATCAAACAAACAACACTTAGGCAAACTTCATCATGTTAGATAAAAAGCAAATGTACATAGTGTTGGATTATTCAGATGAATTAAAACTGATTATCAAATTACACAGATTACTTCCTATCAATAAAATTTTGCCTGATCAGTAAGGGATTACTAACTAAATAGGATCAATGTAATTAAAAACTAAGTAGAATTTTTGATTATTATAATTATTTATTTGGTCACATGAATATTGGTACAAAGGGAACCGGATACATATGCACCATGCAAGTCACTTTATTGGTGTGTGGGCAATGATACTACACGGGTTCCCAAAACAAACTAGGTAGTTTAATTAAAAGGCCATACCCTGAGACTTTGAACTAAAGGTCTAATCCACAACGCAGTGGTGCATCGTAAGGAGATACAGTCCCATGGTAGCCGGTCACAAACAATTCTTTCATAGGCCATTTGTTCCCTCAGGATCCTGGAGTCCATGCGCACCATTGATTTGGAATCAGGGATTTCCAACACTCCTAGGTGGATCCTCCATACCAATCAAACCGGTTAAAGTGTCGGACATTTGCTTTTCGTCCTCTCAATTTCGTAGACAACACCACCGCGAGAAGGCAGTGAGTATAACTTCCCTGACAGTGGTTGAATGCACGTGGCCATGTGAGAGCATTTCGATAGGGAGAGTTGACTCCCCCACCCTCGGCCGTACAAGGGCATTTGTAAAATTCAGTTTTTATAATTTCCTTATTAACTGTACAATGAGATAGACGTTTATTTATCAAAATCAATGCAAAAGCTCACCCCAGTTATGTGGCCAGAGCTCAACATAATGAACTACTCACCAAGAATATACCGAAAAATGAAGTTGACAAAATTTCAGGAAAAAAAACCATCATTTGCCGACAGAATTATCAATCCATGTGAAGCGAGAATTGATAATGATGATGATAGCGCTGTGAAAAGACGATCATCAAAGCTTCACAATTGAATCATTTAGTCCACAACAAAAACATAACACACAACCAAATAAACTGAACAATCATCAAAAAACAAATAATAGTGTAGTATTTTCATAGTTGATATCACGAACTAATCTTAGTTAGGTCACTATTGAAAACCTGGAAGCACTAGGCGGCCTTTTCATCCCAGTATGGGACTCCTCGGCAATATGTATCCATGACCACGCGCGCGGGAACCGAACCCGAGACTAGTGAAGCAGTTCAATACACGTCATTTCGCTTTCTACCATGTGTTTACTTATTTTTTGATGAAAGTTATAAACAAAAGTCGGATGACTTTTATTTTTACTATTCTTATCATCAGTAAATAATCAACATCAAAAAAGAACAACAACGATCTTTTGACAGTTCCATGTCATATGACCATTCAGTAAAAACATATCAACTGAATTTAAAAATACAACTCTCAATAGTATTCTTTCCATTAAAAATACCTTTAGATATTATTATTATTATTGCTATCACAGTTGGGGAAACAATCCTCAAAAGCCAATTGATCATGGTTAATTATTACTCAGTGATCAAATAATTTTGACTGTATATCAGTCCTATTGGAATTCAATTACTGATCGAATAGATGAGTGTTAATGTTACAAATTGTAAAGCTAAATAAAGAGGATTTGAATCTTATAGAAAGTATCAATTGGATCGAAAATTACAGACAATCTATGTTAACGAATATCAAATAGTACAAGATCTAAGGTATAACACTTTTTTTTGTCGATCATCTCCAACTATATGGCTGTAAAATTTTGTAGTTTTGATAGAATTCTATCGATCGACTTGACATTTAACTATTAATTAATATTGAGATACACTTTGAGCTTTACAGTTACTAAGGTTAGTTACAGTTAGAATAGATTAGTTGTAAAATCTTTGATCATGATGTTACAATGAAAACAATTCCAGCTTAGTTATCAAATGTTTAGATTTTAACTACTACATCAAGGGGTTCGGACTGTGATCGCAAATAATTCGGTTCAGGCAATGGTATTTAAAATGAGAAAATATTTTAATTTCTACAATTGGATCACAGATTCGAATCCTACTACATCAATACCATAGTTAGAGGAAACTGACGACTCTTGACTAGATGGTCAATTAAAAAGGTTCTTTTCAGCTTCTCTATACATATCTAAGAAACAGCAAACTTGGTACTACCGAAACAATGATTCAAATAATGAAATGATTACTCCAATCCGGGGAAAATTTATGTGTGCATACACTACATTCTATATGGAATTACTTACAGAACCATCAGGATCCAAACGCAAAAGTAATTCCTCTAAACCATCAAGTCGGAATCAAATGGTATCTCAATTTTAATGAAATTGTGAGATAATGCGCGACCGTCATCCACTAATTAATAATCGAACCATATTTAACTCTAAAAATTACAGTTTTCCCATTTAACTCTAAGTGATCACAATTGAATTTACGATTATGCAACTTACATAAATATTTTGTGTAGATCTGTATAATTTGAGGCTAATTTTCATCTTAAATAGATATTAACTAGAAATTTATTGAGAACTACTAATTAGTGAGTAATGGTATGGACTAACTTTCGTACTTCACTGCTGAGGATTCCCTAAAGTATACACCGGTTGCCTTCCCATGGCAGTAGTGTTGTGTTCGAAACTAAGAGAGCGAAAAGCAAATGTCCGATACTGCAACCGAGTTAATGGATATGGAGAATCCACCTGAGAAAGTTGAGAAACTCTAATTAGGAACCAATAGTCTACATGACCTTCAGGATCCTGAGGGGAGAAATGGTGTATGAACCTATGGTTGATCACCGGCTACCATGAGACTTTATCTCCTAACGTTGCTCCACTGTCTTCTAGATTAGGTTTCTAAGTCAAAAGCTCGAAGACCGGCTACCTAAGAAAACCACCCGCTTCGGTTTGGGCACTTGAATAGTATCGCAGATCACAAACAACTTCAGTAATTTGTGCAGTGCATACATATTTTGTTTCCTCTTTATATCAATATTTATTTGTTCAAATAATAATAATAATAAAAGTAGGACGAAGCCAGTCATTAATAATTAACTTGGCAGGCACTTGTGTTAGCTCAAGTTGTCATATTGTATCATAAGGATGAGATGAAATTAACAAGATCAGTAGCTAAATAATCGAAACAATGTAACAGCAACGATAATGATAACAAGAAAATATTGAAAAAGTGATTGAAAAAGACAGAGTAAAAGTGTATATATGAAGGAATTTTGGAACTCAACATCCAGAGGGACATAAAGAGAGAAAACATCTGCCCAATCATGACCAATTCTAAGGTACGCCATCCCATATCTTTAGCCACTGATTAAAATTATTTCGTAGACTACAACCAAATGGTAGTTCAAATCTATCAACATGATTTAGACCATTGGTCAGTAACTTTGTAGACTGATCCCATGCTTTGGTTTGGCCTCCCCTACCTTTATACCAGCTTATCCTTACACTAGCTAACATTTCTCACCAAGGTAGGTTGGGAATAAATGACACGTGTACTGTATCAGTGTCATTACCAGGTAGGGCTACGTTATTTGCGTATACTGATGACTGCACCTCCTAGTGTGAGCGTTGAGGAGATCCATAAAAGGAACGAATTGAGCGAAGAAATTTCTTTTCAATTGTTTAGTAGCGTTACAGAATTTTCCGGAAACACAAAGTCATTTAAAATACTATAAAAACCCTAGATTTTCTGTACATAAACGAACCATTTTGGAGTAAAGCGTTTCTTCCATATTTCGCGCCATTTCTCTCGTGTTCAAGTCACTGAGTAGATTTAGATGGGAGGTTACTGGAAGACCTTATGAACCGAAACTACCGTTCAATTAGAAAACTTATCAGTGAGATCGATCGGTGAAAAGCTAGGAGAAAAAAAATTCCAGTGGAATATCTACAATTTAGTATAAATATAAAAGGAGATAATGGGAAACCCACAGAAACACCATTTGAGTTTAACAGTTCTAATGACGATTAACAATTAACTCTGACTGAACCTAATGGTACGTGGTACATAACTTTGTTTTCAACGAACAAAAAATAAACAAATCAATGTGTTATTTTTAACTTACCAAATTAAACCATTGAAAATATTTTCAATACAGAAATAAGACGATGTAACGAAAATAAGCAATGTAACATGAGTCCATCCAAACTATAATTCGTACAAAAACAAAATAAAAGCATAATTTTGCAACGAACGAACAAACAAATTAAGATTACGAGCTGATCTTCATGAGACAATTATGAAAAACCAGATAGCGCTGAACAACCGTTTCATCCTGGTATGAAGCTCCCTCTTAGAAGTACGTATCAATGCTCTTACCAAAGGGAATCGGACCCAACATTTCCAGATTTTTCGGCAAGCGTTTTAATCTTTGTACCAATAGACCGATGCTCTTAATACTGAGAATTTTTGTATGCTCATTAAAGACTAATTTCGAGAGGTAATTCCCGCGATTCTAATGAGAAGCCGTACCCGGTAGAAGTTCAATCATGTCAAGTGTGCGGCAGTTACTCATCGATAGCATTAGATGACTGGGTAATATTCCGAATTGATTTGGGTTAGAAATGTACATCATTGGGTGACGACTCAATAGTCCAAAGTTTAAGGGCTAAACATGAGACCTAGAGACCCTAGATCTGATCTGTTGAGTCCCACACCAGGACGAAATATCTGTAGATAGCTTCCTTCTTTCCAATGGCTATATAACTGTGGTCGATTCGTGATCTCAGTAATATCCAACAATCTCCACAAGCCTCCTATACTGACAAAAAAATAAACAAATATAGTCATATTCAACAATGAATGCACTATCAAAATGCCTGAAAGACATATATTGAGCTTGCTACAACAATTTGATAAGAACTTATGGTTCGATCTCGTATGTGAATTACAAAAAAGACACTTGTGTCTCAGGGCGAAAGAATATATATATATATATATATATATATATATATATATATATATATATATATATATAATAAAAAACAGGAGGTGAAAGGCTACACACCTCCAACGAATTTTTTTAATGGGAGTGGAAAACAGAGAGAAATAGTCAGGTAGAGGAAGATATGAAACATTACCAATGGAATCCTAACTCAATCAGTTATGACGTATAACCCTACTGATCTTCCTAATTAAGTTGAGGTAACAAAGAAGTAGTATCTTCACTAGCTTTTACAGAAATTAACATAGCTTAACACTAAGAAGACATTCAAGTTATATTATTTACTTATTCTAAGGAGAGAGAGAAAGAAGCAGTTCCAGTTTAAGAAATTATGGGATAACAATTGATATGGTTTTACAGGAGACTATAAACTTTTAAGGAAAATAATGCTACACTGATAAAATCAAATTATACCATTTGCATTTTTGCAATTCGTTTGGGTCTTTTTTCTACAGAAATCACGACATTTATTCGAAGGCGTTTTATTGAAATTAGTTTAATTTATTGATCTTATTCGTTACATATTGATCTCAGTTGGGGTATCATTTAAAAGTGGAGAGCGTTGGATAACTAATTCGTTCTAGTGTAGCGTGTGTTACTTATACGGAGAGATATAAGTAGTATGTATCAAGATTTGAAGTAGGATTCTTACTGATAGAAAAGGAACATGAGGAGAACATGAAGAAATAGTAATAGGAATGGGAGAATAATAGAGCTTGTAAGAGACAAATCAAGGAAGATGTGCAAATGACGTATTCAATGTATTGTTTTTATATTTTACAGATGTAATGTGTGAGTTTGCTTAATAAATTAAACTGGTTTACCCTATCCGAATCTTCGTTCATTACACTAGTATGGAACTATATTAATAGTACATATTGATGAATTTGACAAGAATTGAATTCAATAATCTCAGTTCTTCCAGCAAACGCTTAATCATTAAAGCAACTAGGTCAGTATCTAATAGAACAAGACCGATTTCAAGCAATTTGTGATCGTTCAATAACATTGGTAACAGCTATTCAACACTCAATAGGTATAAACTTCACTAGTCACAACTTCTCATTAGAACTTTTAAAAAATCTTGAAGTAAGCCCCCCAAATGCCCTGGTACGGTCGAGAGTGGGGAGAGTCCGCTCTCCCTTTCGAAATGCTCTCACATGGCCAAGCGTATATAGCTTCTGTCAGGGTAGTCCTGCTCACTGCCTTCTCGTAACACCGGTATTGTTTACGAAAATGAGAGGATGAAAAGCGAATGTCCGGCGCCTTAACCGGATCCCAAACCAATGGTGCACATGGGCTAGCTCCAGTATCCTGAAGGAACAAATGGCCTATGAACCAAATGTTGGTCACCGGCTACCATGGGACTGTATCTCCTTACGATGCACCACTGCGTTGTGGGTCAGACCTTTAAGTGAAAGGCTCGGAGTGTGGCCCCCTAAGAAAACTATCTGCTTCGGTTTGGACACCCGGGTGGTATCACAGCCCTCACACATATCAAGTGAGATCTGTGTGGTGCATATGTATTTGGTGTCTCCTTGTACCAATATCTATGTGTTAAAATAATAATTATTGTACTTTACAGTACAATGAATTCTTCAGAATCATTAAGATGTTGGTGTTGAATTTTAGTTCCGTTTTTGAATCCTGTCTCTCTCACTGAAATGATATTAGTTGTAACCAACATTTACAGGAGTAGTTAAAACCTCTCATGTGTATCTAGGATGCCGCATTTGGAGAATTTCGATATATATATATATATATATATATATATATATATATATATATATATATATATATATATATATTGCATTGCTAAGACTTTAAACCAGAACATCCATCTCGTTAAACGATAGGGTTCCTCCTCATATAATAGTTGCCAACCTCTTCACTGGATATACAGTTGGTTACAGTTTTAATTAATAATAAATAATCACATTCGCTAAATAGGTTGGTTGATAGCTATTGTGACGCAGTGTAACTACATAACTTGTGAATAAATAGGATCTCAAAAAACCAAAACGAGAAAACCGTTTAGTGTTATTCGCTGATGATCTATAGTTTTATGAAAATGAAATCATGTACCGATCTAAGTTAGGTCATCATTGAAAACCCGAAAGAACTGGACGGTCGATTAGTCCTAATGTGGAACTCCTCAACAACATGTATCCATAATCCTATACGCGGGAATCGTCCTCAGGAACTTCAGTCATCGCGAGAACGCCATCCAGTGTTCTCAGTTCTTAAAATAGTGGTCTAATTTAGATCGGCTCATGATCCCAAAGAAATTTACAACCTCATACAAAACTTTTTCCATAATAATCAATGATACCTTATGATTAACTCTACCTTTACATAAGACATGTTAAACTTCCATAAAATTATGTAGAGAACAAAAACAGAAAATGAGACTAAACAGATTGACCGCATTAGCTTAAATGGAAAATAACAATATATGAAAGAGACTTTTCAATAATGACTGAAGATTTAAACTTGAAAGGGGTAACGTTATAAAAATGGGTGGATATAGTTGTTTTGCTCTGATTTGGAATTCTTTAGCAACAGCGGGCACTTACGACATTCCGCCAAGATTTGAAGTTACTACCTTCAGGTTTCACAGAAAAAAATGTGAATATATGTGATTTTTAATTCATTTACTAGATACAGATTCGTGTAATTGGTTTCGAGTTACATTTTAAGTGTAATGGTTAGTGTTAATATAGATTTATCGAGACCGAAAAAGGTCAAGCAGGGTTAGGAACTGTGAGTCTTAGTAAACAAAACGTCAAACGTTTTGATCACTGAAAATCGCTATTTCAGTTTTAGACTATGGTTTTATATTTCCATCTCAGGTTTCAATATAGCACAACTGTCACACTAATTACTGTCTGTGAATAAATAAATACAATAAATAAACGATACATTAGTAGATTGATATTTACTTACCAAAGTAAACTGTTTAATATAATGCCTTTTAACTAAACTTAGAACAAATGCAACAATCCCAGCACAATACAATGAAAATGAAATAAACTGATGATGAGTTATCCATGGTTGTAGAAAATCCTAATCGATCAAAAAAAGCAAAAACAAAAACAAGAACATAGAATAAACAACAAAATAGAAACGGTTGTACGTCTCTACTTGTGTGTATATATTTATCCTATTAGAAAAATCTACGCATACACAAGCAGGTGTGTATGTGTTGTCTCAAATGATTTCAGTCATTTTTCTCATTTTTTTTATTAATATAAGGTTGCGTAGATTGTTGAGTTTCACGGAAACCATGATCCGATCAATGTTAAACTACCATTGAAAACCTCAAAGCATTGAACAGCCGTTTCGTTCTAGTATGGGACTCCCCAGCAAGTGCGCATTTACGACCCGCATGCGAGAATCGAACAAATGACCTTCTGTTTTTGTGCATGAACGATTAAACTTTAAACCACTGAGTCGGCATTCAACGGTGTTAATGCCTAACTTCAATCAATCCATGATACAGTGCGATCATCTTCCATTGTCTTCGGTGGGTAACTGCCTCACACCTGACACTGTTTAAATCCACTGGTCACGGCTGTTCATAAGGACTCCGAGAATTCTCTGTTGAAGCTAGTCACTAGTGAGTATATGATAATTATCAGTATAGGGTTGTGGAGATTTTTATTTAATAAGTGAGTTTCAGGATAACAGTGTGACTTTTTTTATAACAAAAAACTCATCTTAAGAGTCTATAGTTGTGTTAAAATTGTCTGATAAGTACATGTATCAATAGTGTAGAGAAATCCGACATACTCGATGACAAAAGAAAGTACAGAATCACAGTAAACTATAAGGCTTGACACGAAAATATTTCTTTTTTAATTATAAATACACTTCAAATGGAAGCGCTCATTCATAGAATGAAGTTTGTAAAATACTAATATTTCGTTTTATCCCTAGATTATTCTATAAACCATAAGCTTTCGTTTGATTCACTGCCATACCCTTTTGCGTTCCAAATTTATTGTAATTTAAACGTAGCCTTTGTTACTGAATTTTCCTACCGTAATTCCCAGTTTTGGACATAATTGTATTTTTCCTAATCTGAATCGGAACCAGATCGGAGTGCGAATCGGAATTGGGAATAAACTGAGTAGTGTTTCAGTCGGCCTGTCTTCTCTCGCGCGCGCTTGTCAACCAATCAGGTGATATAATCGTTTTCGTCTCTCTACACAAGGCAGTTAGTCTCAATTCAAACTCACGCGATTCTAGCCTCAAGGTTAAACCACATAGCCTATCATATCAAGGTCTTAATCTAGATTGAGACAAGTTATCTTCTGTATATTAGTGGGTAGACAAATCAAGGACGTAACAACTACAGACGTCTCCATACATTTTCATCGTACCTAACGGTAGAGCGTATCGAACATTCTTTTAAGGAGTAGAACTTGAAATATGTCAGTTAATATTTCTTTAAACTTATATTTTTACGCTTTAACAATAGCAAACACAGACACTGAAACCATGATGACTTTATCGAATATAAAGCACATACAATTGGATTACACTTTCCTTCCACCTCTCGTTTACGAAAAAGCGTTTAGTTCAAAATGCTGTCTAAATTGTGAATAACCCTAACCTTAAACTCAACAATCAATGACTGATAACCTCATCACACATACGTGAGTAGAGGAGTATCAACAAAGTACTTGTGACCGTCTTGATGTAATCTACTTTATTTAATGGTCCAAATTCATATTTATAAAATAGGTTAAAGGAAATTTATAAACAGTATTGTCGATCAAAGATGTAATTTATCTATCATGTACAAGATGAATTACTTTACTCTGTGCTACACAATATGTTGCTTGTCTGATAACAAAAGTAACAAAAAAAGGAACTGGATAGATCGAATTTTCAACATATGATTAAATGCCTGAGAATTGATTAATTTATCCGATAAGCTGTAGTTCATATTAGTTCAGAACAATTTTAAACGATAATCCATAAAAACCTGAGATAATTTACGTCATAAAATCTAAAAAAATCTGTGACATCATCTGATTTACTGTAAGGTATTTCCTATCTTTTTAAGTATAAAGTTTTGGCACAATTCATGGATATGGAGGATCCACCGAGAGAAGTTGGAAAACAATGATTCCAAATCAATGGTGTACATGGGTTTACAGTATCCTGAGCGAACATACCGTGTATAAACCCATTGTTGGTCATAGGCTACCATGGGACTGTACCGCCTTACGTTGCTCCACTACCTTGTGAATTGACGAACCAACTTATGAACCTAACTGATAATGGATTGATTAGTCATAAGAACTATTATTCTGAAAATGATCTGGTGTGAAGATATAAAGTAACTATTAAGAATAAAATCTGTACTATATGAATAATTTAATTTTACGGTTCTACGAGGAATGAAACAATATGAAACAGCTTACATCAGAAATCGGACTTAAACTGACGAAAAGCATGGAGGAATAAATATTTGTTTCATATCGGCTTAGAACTGCCTTAATAGTGTGAACAACTATAACTGTGGCTGAGATTAAATCTGTGACTTTCAGATTTCGAGGTGAGCATGTTATCGCTGAATTAGTAAATTATTAGTGTATATTACCACAGTATAGTATGATGGTCATCCAACATTCCAGTTCAAATATCACAATTAAACTCTAATCTACCAGTCATGAACTTCTTCGAAATTACCTATTAGTTGACTGAATCTAAAGAATTTTTAGATTGTTTTCATCATTAAAGACTAACTGCATCTGGAAAACCAGTGTTTAACCTATAACGTTTCGATCACTGGTCTAAATAATTTATAATCAGCTAAGGTCCAGATAGCTCATTGGTATTACCTCACACTGTGAAACTAGGTTACCTAAGTCCCGATCCCGCATAGAAGAATCATTCGCTGCGAAGTTGCGAGTATGATTTGTTAATGATTGTTAGCTAGTACAAAATCTAGGATTTCCTACTGACTAACTACCATCAACCGCCTTACACACTCAAATTCCGTCTGTAATAAGGATTATAATAAAAACGGGTTAATCTCCACAAGCAAACAAACAGAAAGTAGGAAAGTTGAACAGTTTACTTAATCATTCTACATATTGACAAGTCATAATGTGTAAACACGTACATAATAATACTACTATCACTACTACTTTTGAATCAATGGCCTGAAAACTTACTTCTTTAGCTAAAAGTAATCGAAATCGAGCGATTAAACTTTCACCAAATAAGTAATAATTTGATGTAAACAAAAAATACCATGATAATAATCGAAACCAAGGTAAATCATGCGATCGATAAACCAAGTAACCAATATTGATAATTTCATAGAAGCAAGCCAATTGAATAGCTAAAACCTATATTTATGTAGCAAAATAAAGTAAAGTAAAGTAGTATAATAACAGAATTTGTTGAATTTATTGTACAAAACAATTGGAATAGTTAATTTACAAACAGTAAATATTGTGAATTTGAACCTTATCGGGAAACTACTACTAATTCGAACATCTAAACAATAGTTGTATCATACTTAACCATTCAAGATGGTTACGAGTGTTGTTAGAGATATAGGAGTGGTTGCTACTTGCCCACTACATTTACTATGTAAGAAAATTTCATCTTAAGAGATTTGAACTCTAAAGTAGGTTAGGGTTAGGAGTTAATCTCAAGGATCTGGGAGTGTGACCATAGGGCTGAAGGAACAATAGCTTGAGGTGAGTCACACATACACGATCCTTATGCGGGGAGCTTTGATCTGTTAATTTTGTGCCCTATAGACGTTATAACCACTGACAGAAATCTGTTGGGTTGATGCTGGTTGTATTAGGGAAACACTTTACTGCTGTCGCATCACTGTACAGCCGGGATTACGACATAAACCTTGAAATGTACGTTTAATGCTCAGTAGCCAACTTGGTTAATATGGTAAGACCTAGAAGAACAGGTTCTAGAGAGTATATCTTTATAAGATCATTATGATATCCAAGCCCATGTTTGTATTTATGTCATCTTTTTAGCTTATCTGCTTATGTCTATTATAATATTAATCATGAATAAAAATTTTAAATTTCCTAATATTAAAATAATCAACATATCAAGTTACTAGTTTTGGTGGATAGAACTTAAACATTGGATGACTTTCATTCAAAATGAAGCAAGATCCAATGATATCTGACGTGTAGTCTACGTACGTAATGTAAGAACAAGCCAAGTCCAGATGGTATATGTGTATTAAATTATAGAGAACACAGATTATTTATGAAATATATACACTTAGTCCTCAATCCTTGATTTGCATCTATTATGTATTCCAAAACACAAGGTGATTGTAGGCTGTCTTTTATAGCTTCCCTTCTAGTCTCAAAAGTAATCCGAACTCATCATGCTTTAGGCTTCCTGAGACTCCTATCTTCGGCTGTTGACAGTAGTAACTCCCATGCGACGCTTCGCTGCATACTACTTAGAAGCAATCTTGTGAGTAGGGTCTACTACACTAATACTTACTATTAACAAAACCCACTACTGATTGTATAATACCAAATTAGATTGAAAAGGATGGATGAAATTTCGGCTCGATATACTACTTAATCCTATCCAGATTGATTTCATTTAAATCCACATAGAAAACAATGATCATTTTCTAACCTGATTAAAATGGATAATGTAACCAAATCCAAACATATGAAAACAGAGACACAACAATAAACAATGGATACATCTAATATTTTATAGCCTATTTTTCTTTGATAAAATTAATCTGTCACATGATACTATTAATAAAGCCTTATTTATTGAAATTTGTGTATGTGTATCGAAGTTACAGAAGTAGAGATAATCACAAGTTATCTTTTCACATCATAACCGATAATTATTGAAGGTGGGGAGAACATAAACTTGTACACAATTGAGATAGTAATAAATAAACAGCTTCTTGAGATAAGACTGAGTAGCCAAGTAACACTACAATCTGGAGGTTAAATTTTGTTATGAACTCAGGAGGTCACAAACAGCGTAGAAACGGCACATTTGTGCATCGGTTCAAGCAGCCACATTGTATCGGCACAGAGAGATAAATTATGATAAATACCAGAGTAATTAGTATAGTAGTAACAGTGTACCAATAGTAGCAGAAAATATTAAGCATATACCAGAGAGAAACAGATGTTTACATGCAATAGAAAATATACAACAATGTTAAAACCTAAGGGAGAGACATGGTTGGCATGGTAGGACCAAAGAAACGAATGTTTTAATCAATATGTTTCGACTGAATGATTACGACATGCAAGCCTGACCACTAACATAAAAGTAGCAACCATCGTTGGATGTATAATGGACCGTTTACAACTGCAAGATTCATTGAAAATCAAAAAGTGCCAGATAGTTGTTGAACTATTGATAGTAATAATTCTTCGAAGTTATGTATAACAATTGACTTTGTGAAGAGGCTTCAACTTAGAATGAAAACAACTGCAGACTGTTTCCATGATATATCAACTGAATTCATTTCATAAATAAAATTACCTTCAATTTAAGCAATCTGCAAAAACTTCCTTTCGTAAAATATTAATTATAGTGAAAATGAGGAAATGAGTGTCAATAATTTAATATAACTAATTTTTATTCATCATCGCGCACGCGCGACTCAGACCTAGGACCTTCGGTCTCGTGCGTGAACACTTATCTACAAGACCACTGAGCTGGTATCCAACAGACAATGGATGAAGGGTTGCGTAAGATCATGGATCGATTGGGGCTAGACATTAACAATGTTAGATGCCGACTCAGTGATCTAGAGGTCGAGCGTTCGCGCGCGAGACCGAAGGCCTTAGGTTCGAGTCCCGCATGCATGATCGTGTATGTGCACTGTTAAGCAGTTCCATACTAAGACGAAACGGCCATCCAGTGCTTCCAAGTTTTCAATGGTGTTCTAGCTTAGATCGACTCATGAATTCAACTATCGAAAAAAGAATTACCACAATCTCCATAAATCCCTATTCTGATAATTCCTATTCATTTATTCCTATTTCATTATCGATGATCACCTGTCTAATTGTTTAAAAACTAAAAATGAATAGATCAAACAGGGATCAGATCATAGAATTATATTATGTTGAAATTAATGTAGCCCCCCCCCATATTGATACAATAGTCTAACAGTGAGATATTAATTAATTGATTGAAGGATAAGCGACCTGATTTCCTTCAATCATCTATAATATTTTATCAAATTTATGTTATATTCATAGTCATTCTAGTAAATAAAACAAAATAACTACATATCTGGTTAGTATCTCATCTTTTATTTCGATTCATTTAGGGTGGATGAGGTGAAGGGGGTACCTACAGCAATGTTACAGTGTCGTGAGTAGTTATTATTTAACTATACTATACATTATATCATTAAGTTCATACACTAATTAATAGTTTATTTATTAATTTTGACAGTTGAAAATTTCATCAAATTAAATCATTTAAAACTTTCTCTATAATATACACCTTTACACATATACAGCCATAGTAACAACTAATCCACAGGATAATTATCTAAGTACAAATTAATCGATAAAGTACAAGCAACCATTTGATTGATCAAAGTTGAATACAATACAAACTTATCTCATAATTTAATAAGCAAAAAAAGGTGGATTCACACTTGACAAAGCTCGTTTAAATGTATTATTATTATAACAAGAATAAATTCTAGTTTAGACAAGTGTATAATAAAGGGATGAGTTTTCAAACAAAGACAACTGATACAAATTCTCAATTCATTCTTAACCAATCGATACGGTGATGAGGGGAAAAAATGGGACAATTACAAGTGTATAGTTTAAATAATGATAAATAATCATTTGTATCAGAAGAGGTTTTATGAAGATTGTAATAATTTCAATAGTTGAGATCATGAGTCAAGTGAAGCTAGACCACCATGGAAAACCTGGAAGCACTGGATGACCGTTTCGTCCTATTGTGGAAAACCTCCTCCCCCAAATGCCCTGGTACGTCCGAGAGTGGGGCGATTCCGCTCTCCCTTTCGAAATGCTCTCATATGGCCACGAGTATATAGTCTCTGCCAGGGAAGTCCTACTCACTGCCTTCTCGTGGCGGTGTTGTTTATGAAATTGAGAGGACGAAAATCGAATGTTCGGCACTTTAACCGGTTTGGTGGGTATGGAGGATTCACCTAGGAGTGTCGGAAATCCTTGACTCCAAACCAATGATGCACATTGGCTCCAGTATCCTGGGGAACAAATGGCGTATGAACCAATTGTTGGGCACTGGCTACCATATGATTGCATCTCCTTACGTTGCTCCACTTGTGGATCAGACCTTCAGATCAAAGGCTCCGGGTGTGGCCCCCTAAGAAAACCATCTGCTTCGGTTTGGGCACCCGGGCAGTATTACAGCTCTCACAAAAATCAAATGAGATTTGTGTAGCGCATATGTATCTGATGCCCCCCTTGTACCAATATCTGTGTTCAAATAAAAAATACTCCTCATTTAACAAAAGTATCAACAAAATTTATGTTGATTAAAGTTATTTACTAGTTAGTCATGTCTGTTATATACAACGAAAACTATATATATATATATATATATATATATATATATATATATATATATATATATATATATATATATATATATATATATATAATTGTATAATTACGTAGTCAGATTATGATATATTTATAATCCCTTTATCGTGAGTTTTTGATTAACCCATTAACTACTATCCTATGATTTGCTGTTCTTCATTAGTTGCTTGTTTATTATTCACAGTCTCCCTTACAGCCACTTTTTGTCTTGATCATGTATAATTGTCATTTTTCATTTTATGGTGTGATGTAGTCAGGTCTTTGTGTATAAACTACGTATATGTGAAATATATTATTCGTCTAGTGGAGACTAATTGCTATTACCTGGACCTAATGATCAGTACAGGGAGAGAAGCCACTAATGACTTAGCACTGAATAAAAGCTACTAGTGCCGGTTGTCATGTCATTGGTTAGATCAGATACGAAGTTATAGAAATTGATATTCTGATTGGTGGTTTTGTCATGTGATATTAGTGGGCGGCCGTAAGTCAGAACAATCTGTAAATTTCTTTCCCAAAAAAATATCACGATCCAAAGAGAGTTTTGAGAGACCTCATATTGTGTATGGTTAGGTTTAGAGTTTTAATTACAAACTGACAGTAGCTACAATGTTAAAAATTTCTGACTGGGGATAAATGTTGTCAAGTCACTTAAGTGGATCATAGTAATTACGGTCATGTTTTCATTTATTTAATCACTTAATCGTAGATATTTTGGAGGTGTGACTTTTACTGAGTTGTAATTTTTTTACCATCATGACTAACTATACTACACTTGACATGTCTGTAATATGAAGTGGTATTTTTGTCAAAGAAAACTACATGGATGAATGAATTCCGAGTAAACATAAAAGAGATTTTACATGATTATCTTGTCTAGAATACTCCATGAAAAATCTGGAAAACGACTGATTATACTCTGTTTACTTTGATTAAGCAATTATCAAATCAATAACTGATTTCAGCTTGTTTTCGAGAAACTTCTAGGATCTTAAGGTTACACATGATTCCATATATATCATTTTAAAATGAATCTACTTCCATACCTCCTGTCTTATGCTTTTATCTGGCCTTAAGATTGAAAGACTTGTGAACCGGGAGGTAGTTAGAAAGCTGATATATAAGAATTCAAGAAAAAGACACATCCAAAGCTAAATTTGAATTAGTCAATTCTTTAAACACTATTGAGTTAACAGTTGGAACACTTGGCAACCAACTAGTTGGTTGGCGACTCAAGCTATCATTCAACTATTTCAGCTTGATCAACCGATTATTAGTATCATTAGTTCTTACACAGACAAGCAATGTTACTCAAAGCCAAGTATATACATTTGAAATCGGTCAACGAAAAAAGAGGAGTGATTAGTCAGTGAGTCAAACGCAACCTGGCACATATGCATCGGTTCAAGTTCCCATACCACATTAGCACAGCGACATAAAATTATTTTTAAGACAAATCCCAGAACAGTAAGAGTAGTAAAAGTATCAACATTGGTAGAAAAGACTAGGTATAGAAAGAAGAAAGATATATAAAGAGAGATTTCGCGACCGGAGTTCTAAGGGAAGATGAAGAGTAAACGCATTTTAACTATTGAGAACGATGTTGAGCCATGTTTTTGAAAGCCTCTAATCATCTGTTGCGATAATCAACATAGACCCTAACCAGGTAGTCTACACACCTATTAACGTAGCTCAGTTCATTAACCTGTGAATTCATGAACTCATACAACATTTTGGTTTAGCAGTCTCCAGATTTATTTCAATAGTTTAATGTTGGTTTAGTGGTTAAGGCGTTCGACTTTCAGTCACTAAGTTTTGGATACAAACTCCACTCTATCTACTTGACTTTGGGCAACCAGATAGCACCATTAACATTCATACTGATGTACTTGGGTTATACATATATTCTTTGGAATTTACCTACTTGGATAAAAAAAATCCATCGTTTATTTCAATGATAGTTTCCTTATGGACTTAATTAAGATAAAATAGACGATAAGTAATTATTTACTAATGCTAAGAAGTTGACAAACTCTGATAAATCGTTTAATGGTAACGAAAAGATAAATAAATAACTCGTTATATACAACACTTACCATAAGTACTAATGCCAACGGACCCAGATAAATAAGAAGTGTAAATCCTGAAATTAATAGTAGTCCTGTGAATAATCGTACAGTCCAATTAACCCAACGTGGTGGGAGAAATTTATTTAAGAAATCAATTATTGGTGGTACATGACTTGTACCTTGATGTAATTTTTCAGTAGCTTCAAAATCTGGTTTGATTGGATCAATTGGTTCATCATCGTCATCATCATCGCTTGTTTGTTTCTTATTGTTTAATACATCATCTTGTGTATCGATATTGATAATATTAGAAGTAGTCGAAGAAGTAGTAATATTAGTTGGTTCTACAACATCCCCCTGATGAAGAATGGAAAAAAAAACAGAGAAACGGAGAAAATGACTAAATCACAGCCCTGTAATACTACTTCTAGTTACATACTATACTGTTAAGGTAATGGAAACTTTACTAAATAGCAAGGTTAGTTAGTTTTATCATAAGTGGTGTAGAGCCTGTCACAAATGTGGATTGATACAAGTTATCATACAACGTGATAGAACGATGAGATAAATTCAACAAGATGAAATGCGAAAGGATCCAAATTATTAGAATAATTAAGCATTGGAAGTATAACTTGAAAAGACAATGAAAAGCTATGAACAAACAAATACTGAAACTCAAGATTTGAAGAAAGATTAGTGAGCTACTGTGACTGATTTCGAGCTATGTCAATCAACATCTTTAACCAATGATTACGAATAGCACATGGAACCCAACCAATTAGTTTGCATCTATAGACAAAGTTCAGACCAACAGTCAGTGACTTAATGGACCGAAGTTACGTTTCGGTTCAGAGGAATATTTAAGAAAGAATGAATTCAAAATATCATTATTAATTAATAATCTATTTCATGCAAACATCTACGAATCTTTATTATTTCAAAGACTTTAATGTATGAAGTTTATATTAACCTTATACAGTTCTGAACAATGGCCAGAAACTTAACAGACAGTTGTGATTTCTTACTCCAAACACTAATAAACGTTTTCCAAACAACTTTCATTCAAATCAACATAACAAGTCAGAGCAAGATGTGTGATGGGAAATGAATCACATAACGACTAAATTGAGTCATTTACTCCAGGTTAGTAATACAGTCATAAAAGTACTTATATTTCTTTAAAAACATGTTCAGATTTGCTTATTTGATGATTACACTGTATGACAATAATGTTTGGAAGATAGCTATCACTAAGTACGAGATATAGAGTCTGATGTTAGGTTTTAGTCTTTTAGGCTGAGTAATTTGTGACTTGAAAGGTATTGTATTTAAGAAAACACAGAAGATATAAGTATGACAAAGATTGTCACTAAGTTACCCATTTATCTGTGAGGGACCTAAAGGAGAAAATGATACAGGTGTTGTTCTGACCATCAGGGAGTGTAACATTAGAACTCAAGGAACAACCGCTTGAAATCGATCACACACGGCCTTTACATGAGTACGTGGCATGTTAGTTCTGTACTTTAAAGAACTTACTACTAGCAACGAAAACGCACGAGGCAAGATGAGGTGTGCTATTTTGAAGACCAACCGGTTGTTAAGAGACAATTGTCTGTGCGAATGCTAGTTGCATAAGCAGGACACCCTACACCCGTCATATTACTGTACAGTCAGGGGCAAAACTTTGCTCTCAAAAGTCAGGTTTGTAACGCTTAGTCGTATCGCTCAGCAATCAATCTAACTGTCACGGTAGGACCTAGAAAAACGAGCGCTTCAGTCAGAGCAGCACGACTAAGTAATCGTGACAGACAATTCCAAGCATCACATCAAGGCTGCAGCAACAGGTGGAATATAATTATTTAGGAGTACTCATCATGAACTAATAATGTTGGTCTTGTAATAGGCTTTAAAACAAATCGATAAATGTACGACACCAGATGATATTGCCAATATTTCTATAAATAATTCGCTACATTTAAATTATTAATGTGGACGATTAATAGATGTGTGCAGAGGTTTATATAAGTCGCAAGTTATCTATTTATTTTTATTTATTTGTACACATAGATATTGGTACAGGGGGCACCAAATATATATGCGCCACATGTAGCAAGTAACATTGTCTTTACCTTACGTAAACCACTAATGAAAAAAATCGTGTTTTTTTATTTTACACAATAAAATGACATTCGAATTCTTGAAAAGTCCCATGACAGAGTCAGCTTAAATATTCGCTAGATGATGACGGTGACCATTAGAAAAACCTCTAGTAAACTAAGATAATTTAGCGAAGAAACTTTCCATTTAGACAATGTTATTTACTATAGCTATGAATTCATATTTCTAGTTAACTTGCAAACACACGCCTATAATAGAATAGATGGATATTGGATCATTTAAACGTAACCACAAGTGCCTTCAAGTATCAGAAACAATTTTATATTAATTTCAATTATTAAGATCATGAGTCAGTTGAAGCTAGACCACCATAGAAAACCTGGAAGCACTGGACGGCCGTTTCGTCCTATTATGGGACTTCTCAGCAGTGCGCATCCACTGGTGGTTTAGCTTCAACTGACTCATGATCTTAATCATTGAAATTACTACAATCTCCACAAAACCCCTTCTGATAATTTTATATTAATCCAAGGGGTACTTCGGAGCGACAAAGTGAAAAGTGTTCTATATTTCTAATGGAAGAAAAGACAATGATTAAAACTAAATCATTTTTGACACCTAGTATAATCTATACTAATTTGAGAGCAGGTGTAGGATTATACGTAGAATTATGATCATATAAAATAGGGACAACGTTTTATTATGCTTGATTTAGAAAATATGGGACAAAAATGCCTTATTTATTTGTTTATTTTTTTTGCACACATAAACATTGGTACAAGGGGGCACCAAGGAGATATGCACCACACAATAAAAATGAAGCCATTGGCAATTATCACTGATTTGTATGAGGCTGTGATACTGCCCGGGTGCCCAGACCGAAACAGGTAGTTTTCCGGGGATTCCACACCCTGAGCCTTCGACCTGAAGGTCTAATTCACAAGGCAGTGGAGCAACGTAAGGAAATAGTACCATGGTGGCCGGTGACTAATAACAGGTTAATACGCCATTCGTCCCTTCAGGATTCTGGAGCCCACGTGCATCATTGGGTTTGGTGATAAGAAACCCATATTCAATATATTAATTTAACAATCTTATACATTAAACTTCTTAATCTTACAAAGATCATAGCGAATAGCATCCCAACCAAAGCATATCAGGAAATGTCTGACCTAAACACGTACTTAGCATAAAGTTACCTAGACGATTAACTTTAATGCATAACACAATTTGTAATGAACATTAGTTTTTATTTCCCCTATTTCACAGACAATAATAAAATCTAGTAAAGTTTATGGGCAAAAAACATTGTACAGTAAGTTTATATGTTTACGAAGTGGTAAATATATCGCTAATATTCTTATCTAGATGGAACTTACTGTTCTTTGTCGTACAATTTGATCGTCGTCACTCATTTTATAATCAGAAATGTATCAGTAACAACGGTTAAAATCCAGATTGAGAACGGTACCCAAACAGAATAAAATATGCTGTAAATAGCTGTGAGAAAGGACCTAAAAAAGAAATGGGAATATCTTAAAGCGCATAAGACAATCAAGAACCTCAGTGGAGTGAGGAATTAAATGAAAATGTTAGCATCCATTAATACAAATTTGTATCCAATTTGAAACTGGTATACCCCAGAAACTACAAAAACCCGATCTCTACTAAGGGTAGAAGTTCAAAATGAACTGTCAAGTTGTACAGTCAGTTATATTGAAAGTAGAAACTAGGACAAATGTGAGTTGGCTCAGGTTATTATATCACATTACCGCGAGATGAAGATAACACGAGCTAGAAACTTAGTAGCAACAACAAGAACCAGGAATTAGTCTTGAGAGTATGGTTTAGAAAGACAGATTAGAAACATAAGTATGACAGGATACTGGGATTCAAAATCGATAAGAAGATAAAGAGTAAATGCATGAAACTAATTTAAGCAATGTTAAGCAATCTCCGACTAACTATTATGAGCCTAATCCTTTGGTGTTCAATATACTTCTGAACTCAGACTAATCGGATTAATCATAACGGTCTTATTTACCACTGGTAGTTAAAGCACAACAAATTGACATAATTTTGATATGGTTTGAAAAAATAACGAGTACCCAATCAACCAATAAAGGGGAAATAAAGTCGAAAAAGGAGGAAATAAAAGGGACGAAAGAGTAAACAAAAGGGAAATGTTGCTTTTTTGCCTTCACGTCGGTTATTTAGGGGAAATGTAGATTTTTCCAACTTACGTCGTGTACTTGGGGGATATTTATCTACAACTATACGTAACGTTTGGCATTTGAGTATGCCGCACCCCGTACTTATGTTTTCATAAACGTCGACGAAATAGCGCACCGCTTAATAAAGAAACAAAACTACTGTCATAAACACAATTAAAGAAATACGGACACAATTATAATTGTGGAGGACAACAAATTCTTCACCATGTAGAGTTGATTAAAAAGAACTTACGGAAATAAAACAACAAAGAAAATATGCACCCATGTAAAAATTTTCACACATTTATTCAGTACCGAGGAATGCCAAAAGCTGACTAAATTGACATACTGTTTTAAATAGTAGCAATCTCAAACGGTAGTCCGTTTAACTACCTACCTATGAGACATATAACCAGATAGAAAACAACATTCACAGATCGAACTGACATACTAACGTAAAATAACTTACACCGACCAACAACAAGCTTTTAATAAAGATGTGAGCAACCAAAAGATTGGTGAACAGTGATCTCAAATAGTCAAGAGTTTTAAAATTTATTTTGATCTTAAACTGATTGAAGACAAGTTACTTTCGTTTGATGTAAGGTGGTTTTAATGTATTGTTGTAGTACTTGGCATACAACCATTAAATGTTTTAACTTTGCCCAGAGCTGTGGAAAAAAGAGACGAATTGTACTTACCAATTTTAAAACATTAGCACAACTCCTTATTTCTCTCGCGACTGTTGGACAATCCGACGCCAACCTTTAAATACCTCTGGGCAACTTAAACACCTAACAACAAACGCCAAGGTCAGTAAGAACGAAATGATTAAGCCGCCAATAACCTCATAGATAACAATGATATATTAAAAACAACTTTTAATGACATATAATTTGCCAATAGGTGTAATCCCGCAACTACTCTATTAAACTCAAAACACATAGCTTCCTCCTCCGTAAGTCTAGAAAGCTGTGCGAAGAAAAAATTGTTAAGGAATCCATAGAATATCCTAAACGCCTGTATTCCTATATAAACCAAAGGACAAAAAGAAGAGGAATTATTCCTGCACTATGGGGAGACAGTACTGCCGCATCATCAGTGTAAGATGACTTTAGTAAGGCTCAAGTGCTCTCAAACTACTTTAGCAATGTATATACCATAGAAGCACCCTTCCCGTCAGCGCATACAAACCCCCCCCCCCACACATACACTGGATAGCGTGACCATAAATGAACTCGATGTCTTTGATCTGCTAAATAAGCTTGACATAGGTAAATCCATGGGGCCCGATGAATTGCATCCTAGGCTACTAAAGGAATTATCTAACTTCGTTGCGAACCCTTTAAGTATATGCTTTAAACTATCCGTTACGCAGGGTCGTTTACCAAAAGACTGGAAGAACGCCATAGTAAGTCCTGTCTTCAAAACAGGTACAAAACATAAACCTGAGAATTACCGACCCGTTAGCCTAACTAGTGTGGTTGTTAAAATCTTAGAAAAGATTATTCGGAAAGAGCTGTTTAAATACCTCGATGTAAACCGAATCCTCTCGGAGAAACAGTACGGTTTCAGAATGGGTTATTCTTGTCTCACTAACTTATTAGTCACTCGAGAAAGCTGGTGCGCTTTTAAGGACCAAAAGTTACCTGTAGACGTGGCTTACATTGATTTCAGCAAAGCTTTTGACAAGGTTTCACACAACCGGCTGTTATATAAGCTAAAAAATGTCGGAATTGGAGGCAATCTATTGACGTGGATAGAAGACTTCCTTGTTGGGCGCCAACAAAGAGTACAGGTAAACTCAAAATTATCTAGCTGGGAAACTGTGCTTAGTGTAGTGCCCCAGGGTACAGTTTCGGGGCCAGTGCTATTTCTCTTGTATGTAAATGAGCTTCCTCGCTTACTATCATCATCGGTCTTGCTATATGCTGACAATGTCAAGATATGGAGAACGATACGATGTAAGGGTGATAGCTTAGAACTCCAAAATGACCTGAAGAAATTATCCGAATGGTCTGATACATGGCAGCTGCCGATAAATACTTCCAAGTGCGTTGTGATGCATGTCGGTCATCAAGGTTCAGATACATACACGATGAATAACACTGGGCTACCTGTTGTCCAGACACATAATGACTTAGGAGTCATCGTTAGCCAAGATCTGAAGACTACTGCACACTGCCGTGCAATAGCCGCCAAAGCTTTTAGAACTTTATGGTCAATACGTAGGGCTTTTACTCATGTCGACGCTCAAACGTTTTTGACTTTGTATACAGTGTTCGTATGTCCTAAACTTGAGTACTGCATACAAGCGGCTAGCCCCTGTTTAAAAAAAGACAGTGGGCTTTTGGAAGAGGTCCAGAGAACAGCAACTAAGCTGATTCCCGTAATAACGAAGCTTCCGTATGATGCTCGACTGGCCAAGCTAAACCTTTGTCATATCGTAGAAGTAGAGGCGACTTGATTACAATTTTCAAATTGCTTAGTGATAAATTTGCACCTGATATGCCCTCATTTTTCCTGTCTTCCAAAACAGAGAATTTACGAGGACACTCCAAAAAGTTCACAAGCCCAGAACAAATTACTTGTCAGCTGATTATCGACACTCCCACCGAATCATCAACGAGTGGAATTCATTACCTCAACACGTGGTTGAAGCTCCATCCGTAGATTCTTTCAAAAAAAAGTTGGATCAACTGAGAGAACAAAATTGCCAGGACTAACACAGGCCATCAAGCCTCTTGTCCTGTCCAAACTGAAACTGATTTTCTTTGATCTAAGAGTAAAATTCTACAAGCAGTTCTTCTTGGGTCACCGACGGTCCCAATCACAGGTAAACAAGTGTTGGAAAAGTGGTCAGCAACAACAACCTGTCATTGCCGAAAAACGCTGACTGAAAAAAGTTTCATATCAGAAGGTGTTACTGGTTAAAGCGTTGTCAAACTTCAAATACCTGTGGCATCTTCAAGGAGAATCACGAAACCTCATGTTCAGATCTGATATTCTTCGGAAATCACGTACCAAATGCCCGTTCTGACTATCAAACAACAACTATTATGCGTACACGGCATGCTCGCACAATGTGTGAGACTAGGAGGACCAAACAAATAATTACGGCAATCAGAAAACACAACATGAAGATGCTCGCAATAAATGAAATCCATTGAACACAAGCTCGATTGAAGAGGTTACATTTGGGAGAGATGTTGTTGTATTCTGGTCATGAAAAATAAAATGCTCACATACGAAGAGAGAGATAGAAAGAGAGTTGCACTGATTCTATCCAAAGAAACACGAAGAACGCTTATAGGATGGGAATCTCATGGATACAGAATCATCGAAGCATTGTTCAAAACAAAGAAGGAGGGGATCACACTGAATGTTAACCAGTGTTATGCACCAACTAGTGATAGCAATGACAACGATAAAGACCAGCTTTATGAAAGGTTGTAAAGGATTGTGGAGAAGTGTTCACGAAAGGAATTGAACATTTTAACTACCACCTGGTGGTTTAGCAAATGAAACAGATGTTGAAGAAACACTGGACAACTGATAAAAACAGAACTATGAAAAATTCAATACACTCTTCCTTCGAGGTCCCAACAAACTCAACGAATTCAGTTCAACTCTCAACAACAGGCTCCAAGCCTTGCAGGATCTACTGAAGGAAGAAGAAACTATTATGGAGGATAACTGGAAAGTTATCAAAGAATCATTAACTTCAACGTCTCAAAAGGTTCTGGGCATTAGGAAGCATCGTCATAAGGAGTAGATCTCCAAAGCAGCACTGGACAGAATTAAAGAACGGAAGAACAAGATGGCAGCAATTAACAACAGCCGAACAATAGCAGAGGAAGTCAAGACACAAGCACAATACACTGAAGAAAACAATCAAGTGAAGAGGAGCACTAGAGTCGACAAGTAGAAATATGTGGAAGACCTAGCAATCACAGTACAAAAACCAGAAACAGAAGGAAATATCAGATAACTATATAACACAACGAAGAAACTGGTAATGGAATATAGTATACCAGAAAAGCCAGTAAACGAGAAAGAAGGAAAACCAGTTACTGAGGTTCAAGAACAGAAGGACAGATGTGCAGATCACTTTGAACAACACTTGAATACACCAGTCTCGTTGAAAACAATCGAAGAAGAAGTAGCACACATACCATCCGACTGTTTCTGTCTCCCGAACATTTAATGAAATCTGGATGGTCATCAGACAAATGAAGAGTGTGAAATCAGTAGGAACTGACAATATACCATGTCACATGTCGTATGAATCCTTCGTGCATAGACCAAATGGAGACACTACGAATCGTCGTTGAATGGAACTCGTCATTGCGTATCATGTTCCTGTCATTTCACGGTGCGAGTAGGCGAATCTCATGCAACCTTCTACGGCACCGTAGTGTGCCTGAGATGATCGTCAACATCATACGCAATTATTGTGATGAACTACAGTGCAAGGTTCTAAATAGACAATAGCTGACAGATGCATTCGAACTGAAGACCGGTGTCAAACAAGGCCGCTCGGTCCCCTCATTTCTCTTTCTCCTCCACATCTGAGGTGAGGCAGACAGACAATTGTATGCTCAAGATACTCAAAATCCATTGACCGGATACAATCAGCAAAAACCTACTATTGTAGCGAACATATCAACTTCCGTCTGAATAGGAATAGACGTAAGTAACTAAGTAAGTAATAGAAAGATTGAAATCGTAGTTGCAAAAATCGAGTTGTAAATTTGACGTCACAAGAAATAGACAGTTCACAAAATAAGATGACAGTTTGTATGAATTCGGACGTCGGATATGCTGATAAATTATTATCAGGGTCTAGTTGGTCATGATGACAAACCCTCGAACTCTTTACAAGTAGAAATATGTGGAAAACATAGCAACGATAGCACAAAAAGCGAAAACAGAAGGAAATATCAGACAACTATATAACACAACGAAGAAACTAGTAAGGAATTATAGTAAACCGGAATGTCAGTAAACGAGGAAGAAGGAAAACCAATATGACAGAATCAAGGCATATATTTCCCTGTAGGAAACAATCTATTTTTTAGTACTCTGTACCATTTAACGTAACTAATTAATTAGTTGTATTTGAAAACTTTAAGATTGTAGATCACCAACGTAGATGATCTATTTCGAACGATCGGAAGCCTACTCGAGTTAGATGGGAATGGTGTGACGAACGAGTGAGCGTCGAAGTCACATCTCGTGGTCAGCGCCATACTTGGACTACTCCATTGACGTATCAAGGTACTATAGATGCTTTGAAGACCTTACAACACAGAGGACGTTATTACAGAGATATATTAGTTAAAGCGGATACAAGCGAAAGTAAGACCACTGCCACATGGGCCAGTCTGTAGTGACCTACTTTTGTCAACAGAACACGATTGGTTCGATGAAAACAATTATTATTATAACCAATTGTACCAGTGACTGTTTTACTGTGCTCGTTTGTTTAACTGTGCTAATAACAGCCATTTTGGGCTTCCATTGTATTCCATTGCTTTTACGCGGTTTTTGGACTACGCACGTATCTTATCTTGCCGTCCGCAACTGTACTCCTTTGGCACGATCTCGGTATTCTTTCGATACCACGAGATCGCCAACAAATATATACGACTACTACAATCATTTGCCTTCTGATATTTTGGTCTATTGGCAAGTAGTC